GCTGAAGCATCATACTTCATATACAGACATCGTATTATCTGAGTCCACATTAGATTTATAGGTTTGTGTTTGGAACCTGATGCCTCTAGGAGCTGACATTGGTTAAGCAGAAGATAACGGATGGATGGACATTAGTAAAATAATACTCGTATGGTGGTTTTGGTTAGAGCATCTGTCAAATGCACATATATAAATGTAATAATGACAAATCCAATAACCTCTGCCTGGGTTCAACATTGGATTAAGATAGAAATGGTTGTCTAACTAGAGCTCTGGCATGTTTTTGAAAGTTTGGCCAGTTCCTGTCTTTATCTAGAAAATAAAAAGATTTAACTCTAAACTATGCAACTTCATATACAGATTGGACATGCAGAAATGTTTAAATAGAATAAAATAAGAGTGTCATTTTGCCACTTGAGCATGTTGAGCTTCATTTTGTAAGACACCTTCTTCTCCACACGATGGCAGCATTTAATAACGTCAGAGGAAAATTCCTTCCAGTTCACAGAGCGTCTTTTCTTTGGTTGTCAAGGGACGCTCTGCGATAGCAAAAGTCCTTGCATCACAACAAGGTCACTAGAGGAAGCTGGAATCTCACAATAAAGAAATTTGGAGAGAAATCGAAAAGTTCACAAGACAGAGAGCGGGCATGAAGAAGATGACTAACAACTGTGAAGCAGCACAAACCTTTTTGTGCTCTGCAGCTTGCTGTAACTGTGGGGATGATTATAATTAATGCCTCCACAACTAAAGTTCTAATTACTATGTTGGTGTGCTGCTAGCTGGCAGGCTGTCGTGACTGTGTTCAAAGATGACCAAAGGAAGATAACTAACAGCTGGAGTTAGATTTAATGTGTATTTGCATCCTTTAGTGCAAAACAAAGATTTGTTAACTGCTTTCATTCCTTGTCCTTCCATCATCAGACACAAAAACATGATGTTCTGCTGTGGCCATACACAGCAAACACTTAGCAGTTGATGTTTCATGAGATGCACCTTTGAGCTATTTCAGTCAATCTAATGCTTCTGACATTCATCTTTGCTAAACAAAGTCAAGATGCGCATGGGAGCAATTTACCGATTCACGACAGATTAAAAAAAACAAAGATCAAATTAAAATGTATAGAAATATATGACAACTTGTTTAGCCATTTTCCATGTGAAGACCCATGCTGTAAACAAATGCCTAAATGTTGTGAGGGTTGAATGCTCAGCAGAGACCCCTTTGAGACATTTTGATCAACATGAGTAAATCAGTTAATGATGTTGGAAACAGCAGACAATTGGAAACAATCCTTAAAATTTTCATTTTGCTCAAAGGAATAAGAAACGGGTTTCTTCGCACGAGTGACACAGTGATGTGAAGATTGAACATGTGGATTTTGGGAATTTAAATTCTGATCTAAGAAATGTGCCAAAGCGGCTGATTATGACTTTAATCCCACTGTGCATCTGAACCACCTCCCTCCCTCCCATTCTGAGAGCAAACGGTATCTACAGCCCTTCAGGCTTTTACCTGTGCAGGCGGGGCGTGTCCTAATTAAAATCATAAAAACACATGCCCTTTACTTTTTCTGGTTTATGGGGATGTAAGTAAAGGATGTCTATTATACAAGGAAAGCCATTTTTTGGAGGTAAATGTACATTTGAGAGCACGATGACTGTGAAAAGAAGAAAGAAATAGGTTAGACCCGATTTCTCTGAATGCAACATAATGGTGTTGGTTTCCCGTCTTTCAGAGATCGGGTTACTACAAAACGGTGTGAAAAAGATGAAAAGGAGAAGACTCACCTTAGCGTCTGTGTGGCCTTTTCTTTTGACTCCACTTGCTCTCTGTGATGTGCGTGTCAGGGTTCAGCCAAGACCTTTTCCCTAGTTCTCAGAATGGTCTGACCTGATGTGTTCCAGTGTGTTAGCATGAATCTACACAGTTTGGGTGATTTGTTGTTTTTCTCTGTATTAATCTTGTTTTTTTTCAATTTAGCTTGCTACTGGGTGAAAAAAAGGGTCAGACTACTGTGAAAATGTACAGAAAGGATTGCATATAAATCGCAGGCTGTATTTAAATGGGGCGAGTACAGGGCTAACATATCAAAAGGCAGAAACTGGGAAACTGTTCTTTTTTATTAAACCTTTATATTTTCATACAGAGAAAATATTATTAGAAATCTTTAATTTCTTTGAGGCCCCAAAAATATTTTTGGGGAGATTCTTTGTGATAAAAACACAAACATTTTAACTTTCTCTCTCTCTTAAAGAGCTTTTACATTTTTTTTTTCTTTAATGAAGAAACTGTGATACTGTGTGCAATATTTGTCCACAGTATAAATTGACTTAAGGGGAAACTAATTGGCTTAAAGCACCGGTATTGTGACAGGGACGATATGCTGAGTTTTTCAGAACCCAAAATATGAAATATATGTTTAAGGTTTTCTATTGGAACCTTTGCATGCATTTTCAACTAAACCTTAAAAGTTTAAACTTGAAAAATTAAAGTGGAAAGACAATGACTTTTCTATGTGCAGGGATATTGTGCAAAGTTGAATGCTTTAAAGAAATTATTTTCAACATTTGGTTTTAACAACAAACAAAATACCTGAAGATAAAGCAGGAAAGTGGATCAGTGAGGAATGAAATCACCAGGAAAGCGAAGAGTTGCGAACTTTCGTCGTTCAGCTGCATGAACATGAACATTTTCCCTTTTGCTTTTTGTGTTAGAAAATGTTGCTACATTTTTAAACTAAATGTCATGTCAGCACCAAAGAACAGCGGAACGCATATTCACTTGATTAAAATATAGCACGTCAAAGGTTTTTTTTGGTCTGTTGTATAACAGAGAAACACATTGTTAGCTGTTGTAGTATGTAGTAGTTTGTGTATAGCTAAAGGGATTATTCTCATAATGCAAAGTCTACTCTCACCAGCCACTTTATTAGAAGAGGTAATCAGCCAATCACATGGCCCCAACTCATGCATGTAGACACGATGAGGCGGTCAAGAAAGCTCAGAACGAAATGGGCAGGCGAGTTTGAGAAGACAAAAAAGCAACAGCAACTCGAATAACCACTTGTTGCAACCAAGCAATGCAGAACGGACACCACATTAAGCCTCGGTGGAGTCTGCACAGCTCCTGTCGGCTCAGAGGAGGAACACATCATCATGTCATCTTCAAGTATTCATTTCAGTCCTGGGCCTGTTATGAGCTGAAGAAGTAAAGTTGAACAAAGCCCAGTTCCGTAGTTTTCCCTCCACATGTCATCTGATTTAAATGTGGCTGGATCTAAGGCCAGAGCCAAGCTCCATATGGGCTGAAAGCAGAGGTGTGATGTTGAGCCAGGTGGCCCCGCTTTCCTGCAGGTTTCCAATTAGCTTCCTGCCGCTTGCACCTTTGGAAGACATCAATACTCATCTGAAAGCTTCCTGCTCCGCTGAAGTTTAATTAGAAGCTCACAGTTCAGTCACATATCCTGCTGAGGGACACCAACACACACTCCAGCCTTCCTATGCACACGCACGCATGCACAAATACTGACAAAGGCAACGCTTGTACTTCTGTTTTATTGTTCTGGAAAGAAAAAAAAAAGTCAACATCAAGTAAAAAATAAATTACTTCCTTGATTTCACTTTTTTTTCCATCATCCTGGTGAGAGACTTTGCTGAACTGCCTGAACTGAGGGGGGATTTGAATAATTAGAAAAAGTGTGCTTTCAAACATGGACCCAATTTATTCACGCTTAAAGAGAAAAAGTCTCATCCAGAGGTAAATAAATGCACTAGTGCAATTTAAAATGAGTTTCAAGCAGTAAACTAATTCCATAACTTGTGAAGTTAACTCGTTTAAAGTCATTTTACCTTTATAGAGAGTGAGTCAAGTTTATTTAATCAAGTTGGTTTCTGGTTCCTCCATAAAAAAGCCTGTTAGTTTTCATTTGAATTGGTGTAGTAATAAATGTTGCACCTTGAAACAGGAAGGGTCGAGGCAATATTTAAGGAACAGGGAAATAAGATATTACATCAGAAACTAGGTAAGAAACAGAGGTTATTAATAAAACAGCTTTCATTTGCCTGCTGCTTGACTGGGTGAAACTTTTGTGTGAAACATCTGCCGAGCTTCTGAAATGAGACCATCGGCAAAACTGAACAAACGCAAAAAAAAACGTTCACACGAAAACAGAATCTCTCTCTCATTATACTTGTGAGGATTTCAGGACTCATCCGCCTTCTCAAACGCAGAGCAACATCAGATCAAGCTTCATACTGTAACAATAACTGCTCCTGAAACTGATTCTTTACCTGTAACAGAAACAGTGTGTCTGCAGCCCATGAGGTCAGCAAATAGAAAAACAGACCTTAAATGAAAAACATGCAAAGCTACATAAATAATTTGTTCAAAAGTTTTAAAAAAAAGAAAAAGAAAAAAAGCCTGGCTGCGAAGTTCAGAAGCCTTCTAATCCACAAGATGGAGCAAGCATGGACAACATACCAGATTCCATCCATTTCAATAAAATATATACTTTGTAACTTGTGTTCAGATCTTTTTTAATTACTGAAGAAAGTTAAAAAAAAACCTTTGGACATGAATAGGCATTAAAAAATGAGAATGACGGTAATGCTCAGCAGTTCGCCATCGGACCTTCAAGCGCAAGATGTAAAAAACAGGAAAATAAGACGAGGTTGCAGTACTTGCTAGACCGTCGGGAGGCACTTAACCAACCAGGTGGAGGGAAAATAGGACAGATGACCAACAACGACAACAACGACAAAGAACCGAACTACAAACAGAGTCAAAAAATTAATCAAACTACACAAATCTGTTTTCTTGAAATGAATTCAATGGCATAGATGAGTTAAAATAGTCCCAGCCTCACACCCCGTCCCGTCTCCTCTGCTATGTCCATAAGAAATCCTCTACATCAGGCACTTGTTGATGAGTTCATAACGGCTCCAAACCATCCGATTAGACACAGCAAGCGGCCCTCTGTCCTCCAATCAGCTCCCTTTCAGTTAGTTAGTCCGGGCAGCACCTTCCCACCTCGCGTTAGCCTCCTCTTAGACCCAACTTCCTCTCCTTCCGCGGCTACGCTGCGGGCGCTTCGGTGCACACCGGGAGACCTCAGCTCCAGGTCGTCCAGCGCCAGCGCGGGGTCATCGGGGGACACGGGCTGCGGGGGCGGGTAGTTGGGCTGGTAGTAGCGGTAGGGGTCGTCCTCCTCCACCTCGCCGTAGTTTTGGAAGACGTTGGACGGCAGTTGGACTGGGGGGATAGCGCCGCCGTCAGTGTTATCCTCACCCTCTGCGTTTCCGGCCGGGCGAGCCCCACCAGCACCCGGTCAGGCAGGGCGGAGAGAGTCAGTGAAAGCCCCAAAACAAAGATGGAGGACCCGCCACCACAGGGAGCAGAGCGGTGGAGAGATTTTTTTTTTCCGGTTGTGATTTGATTTAGTTAGCAGGAAGAAGGGGTTCGGATGATAAGGAAGGAGTAAGACACATAGAAGAACAAGGGTTACCAAGGGTTACCGAGCCATGATTACCAAGGTTACCAAGAAACACTACACAAAGCAGCGAGAGGGAAATTCACCACACAAAGCTTCAAGTTAGAATAAGCATCTAGGTTTAAGTTATATGCAGCATTAGAATTAGATTTGTTATTTATTCAGATTGTAAAAAGTTAAATAACTGTAATGTCCTCATTCGTTAAAGCGTTGTAATACTTTAGTTAAAACGTGCACGACATGTATCAAATGTAGCCTTGCATGTGAGCCTTTAGGTGCTCTGCAGAGGTGATTTGTGTTACAAGAGACAGAGAAATCTGTGGATTACATAAGAGGTACCGGAAGATCATAATCTAGGAGAAAAGTCGGGAGAGGAGGATCGTGTCAGTGCAGATTCACGGTACGTCCGGCCCAAGTGCTGTTCACACAGCTTGACATAGATCATTTGATTTGCATTTGTATTGATCTAACAAAGCTTGGAGAAAAAAATAAATGAATCCATTGAAGTGAAAAGTATTTGAATGTGTAACAAAAAAGAGGTAATAATTGTGATTTTACTTAGCCAACCATGCAAATTTGCATGCACTCATTGGATTTAGTTGATTTATCTACTGAAAATATTCCTGCTTGATACTTTTCTAGGCGTTTGGCCGATAAATTACCTTGGAGTGGCGTCTGAGAAAACTTTTTTTTTTCTTTCATGCAGCTTAAGTTAAACTGGCAATAAACATTTTAATCTTTCTTATTGTTGCTGATGATTAAAAGGTATAAAAAATTGAGATGACCAAAAGGAACTTGAATAAAACCTGCCATAATAAATAAATCATAATAAATTCCTACTCTGGTTTCCACATTTTAGGGAAAAAGATAAAATCATTTATCTGAACCATCTAGACTCAAGATATTCAGTTTGATGATGTGCATGACAAAGCAAATACTTTCTCCAATAATTAGAGGACTTCTTTGTACTTTACATAATCTTCATGCATGTTTCGACTAATGCACTGACACCACCTCCCTCACCTATGGATTTAGCATCCTATGCCGCTCTTAAAGTTACAACTCCATGTCGTATCTGCTTTGGGGATTTGTGGCGTTGGCTCATTGCCTGCAATTACACTGTGACGTTTTGGCAAAAAAAAAAGATCAGAAAAAGATCGGAACGGGGGTGCACAGATAGAAAGACACACACAGAGACGGAAAAAAAGTGATTATAACATGCAATCATTACTCACATGATGGCTTTGCAGGCTGCAAGCTGCACAGCGCCACTTAGGCTGCCGTGTGACCTTTAACCTCAACACACATTACAGATGAGCACCATCATGCCTTTAAAAGCCAAAGATCGCTCCTGAAGGGTTTTCGGTGCTTTTAGTGCATGTTGTGTGGATATGCACAGTGCACTTTAAACCACAAAACACTGAGGGAGCGTATGGTGAAGCCCTGTTCACCAGCTGAGAAGCCTTTCAAGCACGACTTCCCACGGCAGTGGTGTCAGCCAGAGCTTTCAAATAGTTGTGCGACTATCAGAAAAGCCTTCAGGACGCATCTTTTTTGCTTTAAGCACCGAACTAAACCCGACACTCACGTCGCCGGGCGGATTAAACATCACAGCTCAGAGCACGTTAGGATGCAGAATTCACCTGTGGTTTAGTTACCGTGTCATGACAGCGCACCGATGCACTGCATGCAGTTAAAAAAAAACACGTGTGTTGTGAGGCATTCAAAAGGGAGAAAGCAACACTCAAAAGATTCTTCCACCCAGCTCTTTTTAAGACCGTTTCTGATTTTGCTCGGTTGCATTCCTCTTCTCTAACAACACTGCTGGAAACAACAACAGAGCCACTGACCTTTATTACGGTCATTCATTCTGCATTTCTTCTGGATAGGTGTTTTGTGTTAACTGATTTAAGATTGTGAAAGTAAGTGCTCATCTTGGCAAATCTGTTCAAACTGTTCCAGCAGCTATATGTCATCCACAATGCGCATTCTTGCTACAGTTTTGCATGTGAATTATCTTAGCTTTCTTCTCAGCTATCAGTACTTCTCAAACCAGTCCAACACTCAGTCTGACCTCAGGTCAGAGTCTACTCTGATGGGAAAACACATTCATAATGCTGGATAATAATGATATTTATTAGCTTCTTTTCTTCTTTTAGAAATTTTAAACCAACAGTTCACACTGTTTGATGGATCTGGTGGCTGTAAGTAGCTTAAATACGACTTTAGCACCTTTCATGAGTCGTATGCCATTAAATATGAAATTATGTAAATCATAAGAAAGTGTTTTATAGGAGCTGAGTGGTTAGAGTAATGCTTTCCGCTTATCTGAATTGCCCTTTTTAAAACGACTTATGGTTTAGGGGTGGGTGCCTGACAACTTTAAGGCTGAATTGAAGCTAAATAATTGGTCCATTGCAATCAGTTTAAGCTAATGCTTAAAATCATGCAAAAAAGATTAAATGAGATTAAACGCGCCGTCCGTAAGGATTTCTGGTTTCAGAGATGCAGTCTGAACACACACATGCAGACCTGTCGGTAAATCTGAATTCTGCATCTTAACATTGATTGTATTCAAAAGTGGTTTATGTTGCACTTTCAGATACAGCGAGTGTGGGATGGACAACTTCATGCAGCCCGTTTAACTCAGTGGAAGCTTTTCTATATGAAAAGCAAACATGAATTAAACATGTCACCTCATGACACCCAAAAAGACAACCGACAGGAATACATGCTTAGTCACACAATTTAAACTAAATGGAAAGCACTAAAGATATAAAGGACCTGTTCCCCTGATACTCTTCATGGTACATACAGAAAAACAAGTTCAATATCTGTTTTGTCTTTTCCTAACACAAAGATTCTGTGTCTCCTTTAAATTGCGCTGGAAAATAATGTTAAAATAATCATAAGTTTTAGGGGAGACGTGGCTCTTCTTTAAGATCCTACATACCTCCAACATTGTAGCCCACACAGGAGTTCTGGTCACAGTATCCCGGAGGCCCTGGAGGGCCTACAGGTCCTGGAACTCCAGGCCGACCAGGAGATCCTGGATTTCCAGGTCGTCCTGACGGACCCTGGTTGCCTGGTCTGCCTTGTCCTCGAATACCTGGAAAAAAAAAAGAGATTTTAGTAGACAAAGTACAAATTGAGGCTGCTGTTACCTTGGGAAGATATGAGAGGGTCTGTTTACCAGGAGGTCCTGGAGGTCCTCTTGGACCTTGGACACCAACTCCAGAAAGTCCCTTCTCACCCTTCTCTCCTGGTTGACCTGTGAACAAACAGGAAAAAAAAAACATTTGACCTGAAAATGGGCAGTCATTTTATTTCAACAGTGATTATAACCAGATTTCAAAAACAGAGCTTGTGGTGTTAATGACATTTTTTTTTTCTTACCTCTCTCTCCTGGATTTCCATTCTGCCCGCCCTGTCCTGGGAAGCCTGGTCTTCCTGGTGGTCCCTGTTCTCCTTGGGGCCCTGGAGGTCCTTGCCGGCCAGGCTCTCCCGGGGGTCCAGGCACTGTGCGTACAGACACGGGTGGACTGGGCACCTGGTTCAGGATTGAGTTGTATCGCGCCATGTGACCTTAAAAACAAGTACATTTCACATTTTGAGACATACTGGAGGAATCAGGACAAATCCAGAAGATCAAACACGGCTAAAGAATGAGGATCAGAGTGAAAGTTGACGGCAAGTGTTACTCACTTTGGATCAGCTGCTCACAGACCTGCCTGGCAATGTCCTGAACTGAGGCCGTTGACTGGAGGTCCCCCTACAGGCACAAACAGAGTGCTGCTTGTTTACTCCACTCGTGCTAAATCTGCCGCTCAGATCGGACTCAGTTTTGCCCCGTTAGTGATCATGCAAATGAACGAAGCCGCTGTGCATCTTTCCCTCGAAGAAAAGAAAAAGGCATTTGCCTGCAATGCACTGAGCATTTGCTGAGTCGCACAATCTAAATTCTTTTTGAAAAACACGGAGGCCTCAAGGACGAAAGCACTCACCCGTTCCCCCTTTTCCCCCTTGCCTCCAGCAGGACCCTGCAAAATCAAAAGAAACTGATTAAAAAGTAGAAAAGACCACGCAAACGTGATGAGATTAAACTTCTGCAGGCATAAAATATTTTGCAGAATTCTGACTAAACTGTCTTCTTTGAAAAATGACTTTAAATATTACATTTTAAAACTTTAAAAATTAATCATCTAGTATTTTGTCATCTCACTACAATCCAAATACTTTTGCCGTAGCTTGTTCTTGGTTTAACACATCAGAATGGAATCGTTTATCTCAAGTTAAATGGGAATAAAAAAAAGAAAAGAGAAAAGAACTGCATATCTTCCTCACAAAGCCATCATTAAGACCTGGAACTGACAATGGCGGTAATTAGCTGATGAGTGTTCTCTGCAGTCCACCCACACTCCCGTAATTACCTGCTTGCTAACATTTGATCACAGAGACACAACATGATTTAGCAGCTGCTCGTTTCACCTCCAGCAGAGTCTCCTCTCTTTCTTTGGAGAGCAAATCAAACTGATCTGCTTTCACTCGAGCAGGAGAAAAATGCCGAAGTGTGAATTTAGACTGAGGCAAAAACGTCAAAGTCAAACGAACCCAGTAGTCGAAAAAATCCTTCATACAGGCTGAACTCATATCTGAACGTGAGAACCAATAAAAACTTGGCTCACAGTCGCAGTAATGTAAACAGAGCCGCACTGCCAAATCCATTCATAAATATTATGTTATTCTGAAGGAAAATGCTACATGGAATGGAGGATTTAAGATTAAAAAAAAAGTAACCCCAGCTCCTACTTCTCAGTTATGAGCAAAGCAGAAGATTCTAATGTGGTTTTTCTTATATTCGGGGGACAAAGCTAAATACTTCAAATTCAGCCTTCTTTACTCATGCATGAATGAGGATTTAAAGACTAAGATGTCTCAAAATCCTCATTAGCTGTCTCGCTTAACCAGTGCTCTGTATTTAAAAAGGGAATCATAATACAGCTAAGATGCTTTTACGAAGAATTAAGTTGGAAACCAATGTTAGTAGTTCTAAGAGCCGGAAATGTGTTGACAGAAGGAAAATGGAACTTAATGCATTTGAGCAAAAAATTATTCTATCATATTATTTTGCCATTTTCACATAATGGTCTCAAATGTAATTTAGATGCATGAAGAGACTTAAGTCAGCCTTACTTTTGTCTGAGTGTGTGTCTGATGGACTAGACAGAAACCTGTCGGTCCCACTGACCAATGCTTTGGTAACACTTTGGTTACCTCACAGTCTAGATTTTTCCGACCACTGAGAGATCTGAGACATTTTCACAGTTTGTCTAGTACCAAATACATAAACACCCAAACAAGGTCTTATCTACAAGAAGCTAAATGCAGACAGTTAATGGAGGGGGGCTAAAGATGAAGAAGCTTTTCCCCCTGACTCACTGGTGGTCCCAGCTCTCCCTGTTTTCCTGGGGGGCCTGTGCTCCCCGGGGAACCTGGAGCTCCTGGAGTCCCCTGAACACAGAGAGGAAGAATCCTGTTACACGCAGCCCTGCAGCACAATCCACCTGCATTAAAGTGCACTTTTCTGATGTTTCAGGGATTTTTTTTTCACACTGCGGAAGTGATGAGTTTGCAGTTTGTGCTGCCGTTGAGCTGCAGCGCAGATGTGCATTTCAGGAACTTAATCTGTCCTGGCGATGCTCACAAATCATCAGCTGAAAACAAGAGCACTGGAACAACACTAAACGGTTCCGGACTATAAACTACATGCGTCATTTTTTATCTCTGCGACCTCTCCCAGAGAGATGAAAGATGAAAGCATCATAATGACTTACCATTGTGCCGGGGGGGCCCTGTCTCCCCGCGGGGCCATCCTTTCCTGGAAGTCCCTGTGACAGAAAAAGCACACATATTTGACGGTACGAATCAAGTGTTTCCGGGCTGGTCGTTCCTTTCCACACATGGAATATATTCAAACGCAGAAAATGCCTCTTTTTGTATAGAAATACAGCTATAAAGTAGGTGGGAAAATTTATTTTAAAAAAAGTTTTAAAAAACACATTAAAAAAACTCACTCTGGGTCCTGGAGGTCCTTCCCTCCCTTGTACACCAGGTCTTCCAGCAGCTCCCTGAAGAGGAGCAGAGGCCACATTCAACTCTAAATCTTTGCGTTTTCACAAATTATATTTAAAATGAAATATTCCAGCTTCAGGGATTTCATGCAAACTAGAGCATGAACTGACTGGTTTTACTTTGTGAAGAGGTTCAAAGCCAAAGCTTCTATTAAAAAAATAGATAAAGCTGAACAAGTCGAATTCTCCCAGACGTCCCACAATGATCTCAGATTCAATAAAGTTTTCTCACCTGTGGTCCTTGTTGTCCAGCATCCCCTTTCTGGCCCCGCTCTCCCGGAGAGCCCTGCAGGTCAAATCAAACACTCACAGAGTGGGTTTCAGGACTATGACGACGATGAGACTGATAAGTGGAGGACAGAACCAAAGTGTCCTACCAGCGGTCCGATGATGGAGCGTCCACTCGGCCCCTGCGGCCCGGGGGGGCCCTGGAGTCCTGGCACCCCTGTGTCTCCCACAGGACCGGCTGGCCCCTGATGAGAAAGAGAGAGGACGAGAACAGCAGATGTCCATCAGCTTTAGAAGTCTGCTTCGACTGGGACAGTTTTCTTAAAAAAAACCCTCATTGATTTGTTTAAACCTTTAACCGAATAATCAGAGAAAAAAAACAACAACATAAATTGTAAAGAGTTGGATAAGAAATAGAAGCTTTACACCAAATATTTGACATTTTAATGCCGTTATCAGTGTTAAAAACTCTACAGTTACAGTTTTATTCACTAATAAATGCATCATATTAAACATGAAAAATGACTTCTCTTTTGGAGAATACTCAACAAAAGTAACCAAGGGTTTTTGTTAGTGTAGTACATCTAATCTTTCTTCTTGATCTTTGCAGCGCCCTCAGCTTTATTTCCTGTAACCGTTTGATAATGTTACATTTTGCCAGGAACAGTTGATGAGTTGTCATGTCAAAAAAAATGTGCACAGTATAAAATGTGGCCGTTGCATTTAGATAAGATGAGGGGAATAAAAGGAGAGGCCAGAGTTTTTAAAGGGGTTTTTAAAAGAAAAATGTTTTATGAACATTAAAGACAGACTGTGTTTCAGTAGTTAATTAGGTTTGTTACTAATATACACACTTCTATTATCTGACCCATCAGCGCTAAATTACACGTTCAGAGAAAAGTGGATTTACAGCCGAGCTGAAAAAAACAATAACAAAATAACCCAAGTGGAACCTAGTATTTCAAATGACCATACAAGAGTTGAAATCAAATATATATTGTGGCTTGATTAAGGCTTTAAACGACAGAAATCATGAACAGGATCAAAACAGGCTGATCAAATCATTAAGCCACCTTTATTATCCCGTGATAAAGATTTCTCAGCCTGTGAACCACATCCTTCATAGACTTCCTCAGAACTTCCTGTTGAAATCTAACTTGCACGAATAGAAACAGGTAGCCATAACGACCTCTAAAAACTTGGCACAGCAGTGGAAGAAACACATGCTTTTGTGCCTTAGCAGAAATAAAATATTCAAATAAACTCTCCGTTGCAGTAGAGGGAGCCAGATTCAGGGCATTTAGGTTGAGTATAGAAAGGGAAGTCTCAGCTCTCAAAAGGCAGAAGATGTCTTACAACATTTATGAGGATGTAGATTGTTCTACGAATGCCAGATTCAGCAAAGAAGTCAACGGAGAAGAGAGCGTGGAGACAATAGTAGACATCTATGAGGGATTTGTCCCTTTCACAGACACTCGGCACCCACTGAGGAAAAATGGAGGTAAATACGAAGCCCCGGAATTTAAACTGAATACAGTCGATTTTCACTAGGCAAGAGTTTTGAGACTATTTCTACAGTGTGTATATACTGTGTTTTAGGAGGAAATATGGTGATTTTATTGTCATTCAAATGAACACAACACATATCTAAGTTAATATATGTTAATGTGTTTTGTATATGGGGTTGCATCATTAACTTCTGCACAACTGCAGCCCATTAACACACAAAATGACATTTTGATGTGTGAAACGGAGAAACCAAAATGTATCTAGCATAGAGAGGTCACATAAGATGCCCACATTTAGTCAACAAAGTCATTTAAGAGCTCGGACTGAAGGCTAAACTAAATAGTATCGTACAACAAAGCTGGCTGAGATGTTTCCCTTTCAGACTGGATGAGCTGGACCGTGCTGGCCCCAAAAAAAAATCACTGATCTTAGATCTCATCCTTAAATGGATCTAATGAAATGATGTTCTCTTCACTTCTGTAGGAGCAAACTCTCACAGTGGACTTAAAGCTACCCTCAGAAATCGGGTCAAAGGCGTCCCACTGGTTCTGGGTGTGCTCTGTCTGCTGCTGTTTGTGGGGATCAGCATCCTGGTCAGACTCTGTAGGACCCATTCATTTTAGCAGTAACTCTAAGCCTTGATTATTAATCCGAATTTTTCCACTTCAATACCATTTTAATTTAATTTATGTATTTTGTAGACATTTCTGTGAATTTGAGAGAAAAACAGCTCGTCGCCAAGTTTCAGGAGCAAATAGGAAACCTCTCTGCCGACCTCAGCAAAAGTTACTGCCACTTTGGAAAAGAGAAGGAAACAGAGGCACAAACAGTGGGTAATTATAGTCTTTTTTTGTTAACAGAAAAAAAAAATTCCAATACTAGGAGAGTGAGTAACACCAAACTAACATAAAGCTTCTTTTCGAAGAATGGCAGAAGATTACATGCAGCTGTTACTACGCGTCTAAAGAGAAGAACACCTGGGCACAGAGCCAGGAAGACTGTCAGAGGAAAGGAGCCAGTCTGTTGATAATTTACAGCAAAGCAGAGCATGTGAGTATCCAAAAACCGATTAGGGTGTAATCTGTAATATTAATAGTAACCATAATCCATGGAGGATATTCAGTTCTATTATTCCAGAATGAGATACATTTTTATAAATAAAGTGCAGTTTTCATCCAGATCGGTGACCCAACCTTACCCAGAGTCAATGAGCTGCTCATGGCAGTGTGTTTGTGTTTTGTAGATTCAGTAAAGTGTTACGTCTTATATGCACCCATCCACATGAATGCTGCGGGGGGGGTTTCATTTATTCTCAGCTTCCTGTATGGCACTAAGTTGCCGCCACTTGTCTCCTACCCCATTTGTGATGCAATGCAAATGCAATGCTAACACAGATAGATGTGTTGTTGTTTTTAACGTCAGGCTTCAAACAAAAGTTGATGATGAAGAAATTGTGAATAATCCTTTCGCTGGTGTAAAAAAAAAAAAAAAGCGGCAACATTTTGAGGATCTCTTTGAAAAACTGTAAAAGGACCTTTTGAGAGAGCTGAATTATCATGGAGATTCCTGGATCGGTCTGGAAATGGTGCCAAACAGCTGGGGAAAAGGATGGAAATGGATAGATGGATCGGAACCATCTTATGTGTAAGAAAAATGGTCTGTTTTTTTTTTAAATCAATTGAACTGAAAGTAAAGATGAATGTTGATGTCATACAACTCAAAACCATTTCAGGAGTGTGCCGTTTGTTCAACAGGGCTTGGAAAACACACGTAAACACAAAGCCTGAGGTTGGCGCCAAAGCCTACATTGATCCAAGTGGAAACTGGATGCACACAGAAAATGGCACGAAGCACTGGATTTGTGAGAGGATGGTATGCTGAGTTTGCTGGTGACCTCAGAGTCCAGCGAAGGAAATCCAAATCTAAAGCTTTACCACTGAACCTTTGCAGGCCTGAGCAACTCAAGCTCTTAAAATCTATTACATAAAGTTGAAGAAAAGTGAATGTGAAACAGCTAAAAAAAAATCTCTGGATATGTATGCCTCTTTCATAGCAGTGGAACCTTTAAAAATAGTTTATCTTGAAAAAACTTTACAGGAAACTGTGTTTTTTTCTCTCTAAGATCTCTCTTCATCATCCTCTGTTAGAGCAAAACTACTTTTTATTTTCATTTGAATTAGGCCAAAGTGTTTTGTTACCTAGTTGTTTAGTTGAGATGAAGTTTGCTAAAGGAAAAGGTTTGTTTCTGGGCTGGAAAAAGCTGAACTCTGTGTTTTTTCAAAGACCTGGCTTTTCAGGTTCTGGTCCATGAATGAGCTCACTAAATGATGCCTTACTTGTTAATGTTCGCATCGTGAACGCATACAGAAAAGCTTCCCTCTTGTTTTTCTTTTCAATAAAGAATAAAAAGATTTGGATTTAAGCGTTTTTTTTTTCAACTTTGGTCACAGAATCCTCAAAATACCTGTGTTTTGCTTTCATGCACAGAAACCACAAAAAAGGCACGCTTCTTTAAAACACACAACTTCCCCAAAGCTTTTCTTACGGAAACAACACAAAATGTTGTTTGAATGGAGATGAGAGCTTCAACTTAGTCTGAACATTAAAGGAAGAGCTGCACAGCTCAGTTCTTTCAGGATGTTCTCAGATATTTACTGCCAACCAAAGAAAGTAAGAAACTGCAAAAGGGAAAAAGAAGATGAAGTGTCTGGATCAATGGTATTTTTGTGGGATTTATTTGATAATCTGAATTTAGTGTAAATACTCCTTTTATGTTTTATATACATTTTAGGAAACTGCATGTTTTCTGCCTTCTAATTTCCTTATTTTGTAACTCATATGTAAAATAACGGGTTATCTATAAATTAATATGGGCTTTGCTCTATCTTAGGAATCTTTGACTGGATATGAGTGGTTATTGATGTGTTATCACAGAAAGCGGTGGCTTCTTTTACAGCCACATCAGCTCTTGGAAACGGTTAGAAGGAGGCCTTTTTTGGCTTAGAAGTGTGAATCAACGCGGCTTACCACGGGGCCCGGCTCTCCACGATCACCTCTGGCCCCGCGGATCCCAGGCCCTCCCTGTTAGAAACACAAAGCAGACGCCTGTTACTGCTTCAGGATGACACGTCTGTGTGGTCTGAGGTTCGTGAATGCCAACATAGAAGCTGTGCCTTAAATGACAAAATAAAAGCAAACACGAACATACTCAAACTTAAGTCAATCAAACTGTGTAAAAGAAGTTATTAAGTCATTCTGGTCCTCGTCTTCCTTACTGCCTGCAGGTATTAGCTATTAGCTATTAGTTTATTGCACTACACATCTTGATACTGGACCCTCTAATTTAAAATGTGACAATTATTCATTTACTTCAAAAATAGAGAGTATAGCTAAACATATTCTTAATATAGTTTCATTTTTGTAAAGGAGCCTGATAGACTTCTGTCTGTGAGTGTGGGGCTCACTGGATTTCCTGGAGGGCCAGCGGGGCCTTTGCTGTCCTGCGTGCAGGTGCAGGCTTTGGGCAAGGCGGGGCAGTCCACCTCCTTCCTCTGGAGGAGCGCAGTTCGATGCAAACCACAAACAAAAAAGGAAGCATGGCGTTAAATGTGACAATAGACGGCACGACTCATTTCTGAGCCATTAAAACTGAAACAGATGTAACGTATTTCACATCAGTGTGCTGTGGAGTGCCCGTCTGTCTAAAAACGTTGTTTCGTTCATCTTCTGCAGGGATTAAGAAAAACTAAAACGTGAAGTCAAAGTGGAAACACGTGCTTGGATGGATAATAGACAACAAAGAACATTTTTTAAAGGCAACCAACTGCAGAATTTGTTTAACGTGGCCCGTTAACAATTCAAATCTCCTCCTGTTTGTGTGGACCGGGAAGTCATAACATGAATTTTAAGCTCACCAGACCGGGAAGTTCGCAGCACTTGTCCCTGTTGGCCCAGGATGTGCTGCAGATGATGTCGAAGTTCTGGAGCTGAAACTGCAGGCGAAGGGGAGGATTTTTGTTCAGTTTTGCACAACATAAAACTACATCTACACATTAGGAAGTGATAGATCATCAATTAGCATTTTAAAAGTGAGTTAAGTGGATATTTCTGTCAAAAGGTCAAAGGTCAAAGCTTATGGAAGAGTTTGATGAACTTATCTAAACGTATTATTGGAGCTACATGAATGATGCTTTGGTAAATTGAAAACTTTCGTCATATCTGTTTGTTGAATTAGGCTTAATTCATCTGATTCTCTCAAATCTCAAATAACTGCATCTGTCATCTTTCTCATGGAGTTTAAAATGAAGACTCCAGGCTAAAAATCCTGTTTTCGAAATCAGATTCCAGACTTGGACGATCAGGGAGGAAAACGTTTAGCTTTCAACTCCCCACGGCCTACAGGGAACCGAATTAAGACTAAAAACTTCTCATGAATCAGCGGGACATTTAGCTGCTCAGCTACTAGGTCTTTCTTTCCATTTAAATCATTTCCCCGGCGTTATAGGCACTCTGTTGATAGCAGTCGCACTCAGAAACTGGATCAGTGACAATCTGTGAGGATATTGTCACGCTGGTGTTGTAGGTGACTCACCGGAGCCGAGTTGTCCTTGTTCCCTCTGGAGCGAACCATCCGGCCCAGAACTTCCACTCCATCGTTGGTGATGTTTCCCGCTGCGTTGATGGTTTTCTCTGCCACCATTTTGCAGTCAATGAACACTTTGGCGCTTGTCTTGCTTATCACCATATGAAGCTGCAAGAAAAAAGAAGTATAATAAAAGAAAAATCATATTTTAAAGATGCTTTCATACATTTAAAGTCAGACTTTTAATATTTTCAGGAATACATTTAGATTTAATCTGTTGGGTGAAATATCAGATAGATTTCCTTTAAAAGTATTATCTTTCTTATTTGCCTCTTAGATTTATTAAGCGTCAAATAAGTTTATCTTTGCTCAGAACAAGAAAACAGCTTTATAGTTAACATCAGTCTAAACCCATAAGGTAGTGGTCACAAAGGTTACCAGCTCTATAAATGTGGGAGAATGGCTCCCTCTGCTGGTAGAGAGCTGTAAAGTCATCCATCAGATTTGTCTAACAAACGAGCAGAGGTTTGTTTTAATGGAACGTTTGTGTATTCTTCCACTTGTTTAATTCAACACAACCTTCTACTATTTTTTTGTACACAAATACATTTTTAGACTCATTTTTGACATCCAATTTATCGACTTACTGTCAATATTTTACATGTTTTCCATGTTTCATCATGAATAAAACATTCATAATAAAACATTCATAATGATTCATTAATGATTATGATAATCTTACTATATAAAAAGTGTAACAAATAACATCCAAAATAACACAACTGCCGTTTTAAAAATGCTTTCACATTAACAGAGCCTCTCCCATCCACAGCTCTACAATGAGCACCGAGTCTGAAACTGGGACAGAAATCAGGGGGAGCGCATGATACCGCTACTAAAATTATCTCTGTGAGTGGCACCGTAATTACGGATGCAGGTATTACTGTCATCATCATGGACAGTCAAGAGCTGAAGTGCGAGGCAGATGAAAGGCCGCCTGTCTGTGCCGAGTCGTTCCTGGAAACCATTAACCCTCCTCCCTTTTAAATGTGACACATTACCACGCTGCTGTTAGTAACACTGCTTTATTTGTGTCATCTGCACATTTATTTTTCTGAACCCTCTTCGACTTGCTGCGTAAGACTGTGTTCTGGATTCTGTTAAAGTCACATGCGTCCATGTCAGCCTGCTAAAAGCTTGGTTATGAAACAAGAAGAAAAAAAGATAGCAGGTTGTTAAATTTTTTTCTCATAATGGGTATAATAATGTTAAAACTAATCCTAATAGAGATCGTTCTGTACTGTTTGTCTTTTCTTGCTACTTTAAGGGAATAAATGAATAATCAGCATCCCATGATGACTGATGTCCAACTACAACATTTAAACAAATGATTCCATAAGCAGAAGGATGCTGTATCATCCATGTGGGTCATTTTTATGGCATAATGTGTATTTCTCATATGGGAATTATTCTGTTTTTTGTATTTGTTGTAGACCGATTGGAAAATGGGACTATTTTAAGAAATCTCCTTTAGTCTTTTCTAAATAAAGAATAACAAGAGAATTGCTTCTCCTATAGAGATTCGAGTAAATGAATCTCACAATTTCATTCAAACAGTATGTGGATAAAGAGTTTGAGTAGGATTAGGAAGGAAGCATAAGAACAGACGACTTTGATCCCCAGACTTTTTCCTTTGACTATAAAAGAAACGGTCGTCAAATTATGACGTTAACTTTTCAAGTTATTTGGTGACTAGCTCCCAGTTGTCAAATGAAGGACTGGGACAGACTAACCGCTGCAAAGTCTACCTCTAAAGTCATGTTTTTTTATATTAATGTTCTTTTAATCATTTTCAATTTCAATTTTCTCTTTTTAAAACAAGGCCTGAGCTGCTAGTGATGTGTACAAAACGTCCATCCCCCTTCATGAACCCTTTCAGGTCCTTAACTATTTGCTTTTTTTTCATTCGTCTTAATAAACTTTGATGCGAATAAACTATGACTATATTTCTAAATTGTTCTAGCTAGAGATCTAGATAGCTTTAGATGTGGAAGATGGTCAAATTAGAGGATTGAAAGCTGGTTCTTTCAGTTCTGTGGATCCAGAGCAATCAGTTAAACTTTAATTGCTTTCTGATAAGTGTGTGGGCCTGCGGCTGTCATGACGCATTAACTGACTGGGAAAAGAAATAAGAAGAAAGCCAACTAAAAAGAAAAACAAACAAAAAAAACAGAAACTGTGAAATCTGCCGATTCCCATAATCGGTTGATCAAACAGTGCGTTCCTATAAATAGCAGAACTTGAGATGCAAAGCTGTTCTCAAACCTGCTGTAATGGAACTCCAGCGCGGCCACTTGTGTGCGCACATGTACACCAATCCATATTTATGTGTACAGTGAACTGAAGTTGCCGTGACCTACATTGAATCTTGTTAAGGGGTGTGAAGTGTGAAGCTAAGGAAGCTTATCAACGCGCAGCTTGCAACAGGGTATTTTCACATTACTGAAACGGCTCCAAGTGCCACCTTTTCAGGAACTTAGCATGTGTTAGACGTGGGACGAGTTATAAAAGCGGAAGAAATAGACTTCTGGAACTTGGAGGAGACAGTGCAACTGTGAGACTTAAGCTGGCTATAACTTCATAATGATGGCCTCTGATCTTTAATAAGATCCCAAACAGCCTTTAAAGACCTCAGATAGACTCATCAGTGAGGCACTGCAGGTGCTGGTTCTTATGGGAGAAAAAAATCCATTGAATATGGAGTGAGAGACACACACACACACACACACACACACACTTACATGCACACAGACCTAGTGTGACAAAAGGTGAAAAGGTAAGCAGGATAAGCTCTGCTGACAGTGAGCAGACAGAAGTGACTGAAGATCAGTCTGCGAGTCTCAGCACTCACACGCTTACAATAACGCAACACGACAGCTAGCAGGTTCAGGCACGGGGCATGACTGGACTACTTTCAGCCTGTCAGGACTCAAAAGCAACGTCTCAGTACTCTACCAGGCTCCGGACAACCCGGAGTAAGAGAGCAGAGGTGGGAGGAGGGAGAAGCACAAAAAAGACAAAGCGAATTTAACTACTCAATGAGCTAAAAACTAAATAATAAAAACATAAGGGAAACAGTGAGCAACTTGGACATTTAACTGGGCCATCTTTCTCATCCACATACTAACACTAACTAAAACATGCCCAAAGTAGGAAACAGTAATAGAAAAAGACATTCTGAAAACGCTTCAGGAGAGCAGACGCTGAACCAGTTTGAGGGTAGATTAGTCTGGAAAACCTTTAAGAATGAATGGACCCCCTGACCACATTTTAGATGTGGTGGTCCTGATTGGAAGCTCTTATTTTCTATGCTATATATGGAAAACATGCTTTTAATGCACATGAATATCAAAATATACATTTGCTCAAAATGCAAGTTCAGGACATTTGCAGAATTCAAAGAATACTGCAAATGTGATGATTAAGTTAAACTTTGCTGATGGTTCTACGATTGCCAAACGTGAAAGCACCCGGAATGAAAGCTGTCAGCATTTGACTTTTAGAAGTGAACACCACTTAATCATAGTGCTCACTTCATAAACTCCATACATATGCACGCTTACATCGTGGCAAAGACTTGCATCGACCAGTCAACGCACAGGAAATCAACAACAAAGGAAAGTTTTAATACCTTATGGAAGCTGCTGTAGAAGAGCTTCTTTACTTCCGGCCCCTCGAAGGTGACTGTCTGAAACTCTCCTTTGTAGTCATTGTTGAAGAATGTCAGAGTTTTGCCTCCATCTGCGGGAAAACAAACAAACTGTGGGCGAAAATGCAAATGAGAAAATCTACAGCACATCTAAGATCAAATGCACTCGTCCCAGCAGGGAGTTTCAAAGCTGTGTGATAGCTGAGTGTCAGGCCAGCCTAGCTGCCTGCAAACGGCTGATGGCTACCAGGGAGAAAAAAGACAGTTGGCTTTCACAAACTCACACACAACACTGGCTCTAAGCTATTGTGCAAGCTGCTCGTAGACTGTGGTTAAAGCATGGTCGTTACACGGCTTCTTCCATCTACAATTTTCCTTAAAAAAATTTTTTTAATGCTTTGGAAGGTAAGTAGATTTTTGTGATTGGTCACACTGATGGTGGACCTCAGCGTTATGACCCCATTTGTCTTCAGATGAAGGATTTCACAGATAACTTTTTCAGGAGATTTAGCAAAGTTGATCCCCCCCCCAAATCTCTTCCTCAACCGGACAGTGTTTTCAGCAGTTTTTCCAACCCTTGCTGGAAACTTTTCCCCTGAAATCACTAGCTCTGGCAAACTGGACTTTCAATTAGTGACTTAGCAAAAGTCCCACAATGCAGCTTGTAAAGTTTTTTTTGCCAACAAAGCAAAGCTAAAGTGAATTCTCCATCTTTGTGAGTTGCCACGCAACCCCTGGGTTCTTTGGACATTCATTTGTAATCTGGCAGAGGCAGGAGGACATAATGTGACAGGATAATAGAGAGGAGTAATAAATGAAGGCTGTGGTGACCCCGTGAATGCGATGACCTCACTGCCGCTCAATCAATCAACGAATGAGCGTCAGTGTATGTGTTACTGTGTGGGAGACGGTCAAAAAGCCGAACGTAGAGTGTGTCAGTCTTTGTTTTGGTGTGTAAGATGTGCTTTCGACAGGGTTGTTGCTTCCTCACTCACTGTCCAGGATGACTCCGACCAGCGGCTCGTTGTTCTGGTTGAGGATCTCCCACAGAGCAAAGGGCTCCTCGGGAGTATCGGGCAGCAGTCTGAACAGCAGAGTGATGGTGTAGTCAGACGGGAGTCCCTCAGGGTGGATGTACCTGCGGGTCAAAGGGAGAACACAGCACCCAGGTAAACAGCAGACTGGGGAATGTGGTTCCAGGATGAACTCAAAAGCCATTAGCTACCCTTTCATCTCGCTTTGAAGAACATGCTTCTGAAGCGTTAACGACAAAACATTAGCTGGCTCTGACACTATTATGGCGGGGGGAAGAAAAGTCTTGTGGACCTGGTTGGTTGAGCCAGCAGTGCGTTGTTGTGCAGGTGGAAACAGGGAAAAGCATTAAAGGTTCCAGGAACCATTGAAACGCCTGAGATGCTGTTGTATCGGTTCTCCACAAGCCCGAACAGCTCCATCATACGGAAACCTGAAGACAAAAAATATGAGCGATATCATTTATTGCTGATTCTAATGACATTTCTGGCAAACACAGTAAGGTTCCATAAAAACTGTATTTATGCTGATATTTGTTCTTTCAGAGCAGATGTTTTACTTATTATTATTAATTTCCTAACCCTGTCAGAGTCTGTGTGAGTCTGTCAGCTCCTCTCCAAACTTAATATTAACTACAGATCCAATAATGCAAAGCAAAATGTCCCAGAAAGATACTTTTAGCCAGCACTTTCTGTTCCATGAGACGCTCGTTTTACCACGAACACTCAGTTCTGTTTCACAAACAGGAAAAGGAAAAAGTCTCAAAGAGCAAAAGATAGCTGCTGTGTTAAAGACTTGTTTTATTGAGCTTCTCTCAACAGAAATACTGTATACTCCAGGCAATTTCCCTTTTTTTTTTATCCTAACAGCACCAGCATGACTGTAAACAAGTATGAGGAAGATAAATGACTCAGAGTGGCAGAGGGCTCCTCCTAAACTCCTCGTGTCTCGTGAATACTCAGCTTTCAGCATGTGTGACATGTCCAGTCCGGTCATTTACCTGGGGTTGTGCTGCCACTCATCGGTATGGACGGACAGGCTGAAAGACAAAGACAAAGTTTCAGTCCCGCGTTGTGTCCCCTCCGGCTGCCAGAGCTGGGACCTAAGGTGACCGTGACTCACTGGCAGTAGCCGCCTCGCACACGAAGGTCACCAGCTTCTCTTCGATCTTCTGGAAGGCGTCCAGGTCGTCCACGAAGAAAACGTGGCGGTCGCTGGGCTTGCTGGCGATGCTCACCAGCTCCCCGTAATCAGCATCGGCGAAGCCAATCGCAAACACGATGTAACCTTTGTGGAAAGAGTTTGGATGTGTCAAGCAGAAGCTCGGACCGACAGCCAGCCACAAATGCAGCAGCTCAAACCTTCCATCTGCATCTCTTTGGAAACTTTATTGACATCATCTTGGGAGCGTCCATCTGTAAGAACCACAAGGACGTTGGGGATCCCCCTCCTCATTCCCCCCTCTGTGGTGAAGATGTTCTCCTTCACATGCTGGATGGCTCGACCTGATTGGACAAACCAGTAAACAATCACTCTTACAAAACTGGAAGCGTTGTGATCCTATCGTCTAATTGTCTCTTATTGTTGTTTTCTAAATGTAGACACCGCACACCGGTACAGAAGACTGTAAGAAAAGAAATTGTGATTTCAACTCAAGCATTTGTTGGATTTGTGGATTGGATTTATGCTTGTGCATGAGAAAGCCTGACTTCATAACATAAAGGAAAACAGTGGAGAAAAGAATGTAAACTTAAAAAAAACATTTTTTGTCAGAAGCGTTCGTTTAAATCTTTTAACAAAATGAAAAAAAGGATAAACAACTTAAACAAAAGTAATCAATATTTCCTGCCAAAATTTCACTATAAAAAATGTTTTTAAAAAATGACTTAAGGCCTTTGAAATCTACGCATCAAATATGATAAAAGCGTCTTTAAAGAGTTAAAAAAGTTTATGATGAAATCTACAAAGAGATGTCAAATCAGACACATTGCACCAGTTCTGCTTTGAGGCTGCAGCCTTTCAATTCGGCGCCGTTTAAATTGCTACGTGTTAGATCTTTGTGGTGGTCGCCCTTGTAGTGACTGTCTCTGACTCTGCTGCTGAATTTCCCCTCACTGGAAAATTGGAACACGCAAAACATTTGACGAATCGCCGTTAGTTTGCTTTAAGAACAAAGACGTGGCTGAATCCAACCTATCCAATAAACTAGTCATGGAAGTACAGAGCCATTACTCCTCAGGGACGGGAATGAACCCCCCCCCACCCCTCTGGCATCTCTGTTAATTAGTCAGTAGGCCTTAATCTGTCCACAAGGTTAAATACCACATTCACCTGGACAATTACCAACACTTTTACTGTTTACACAAAAGCCTGAATGGTTTCAGTTTGAAAAGACACATTAGAAGTTTAGTCATCAAACCATCTCCAGGCCAAAACACCTGCAAACATCTGCTTACTTAAGTAAGTACATATGGTAATTAGGTGCTCTATAACTCTCAAAGCTGATGCTTTCTGATAGAAATGGACCTCACAGTTTCAGAGTGTGACATTAGCAGCGGGATAATTTCTCCCCAGCAGCGACGCTGTAACAAATCTGTTATCTCATCCCTGTAGGAGAAACCCGGCAGCTTTGTAAACACTGATTAATGGCTGCACCCCACAGACTGCCTATCATTATACGTAATTATACATACAAGGCTAAAAAAAAAACATATGGGGCTCTGTGAGCTTTTAACATGAATGTGAAACAGAAGAATGTAAAGAATTGATCATTTTAGTCCTTGTTTTTTAAAAAAAAATCACAATGTTGTGGACGACCCAGGTGACCCTGATTCACCACAGAGTTGTGCTGCTGCTAGCCTAGACGGCCGGGGACCTCCCATGGTGCATATTTCTGCTCATTTTTCTCTAAGTACATGTGACATTTTTGCTTCTCCTTCTCTTTCTCAGCGGGTGTCCCTAAGCTGCTGTCGTGGTCCTCTCAAACCTCGGCTGGTAGAGGCAGTTGGCCACCCTACCCAGACTCTGTTCGGATGAGTCTTTCTTTCGGTTTAAAGTGAGTTTTTTTCTTTCCAGATAAGCCTCATGCCCACTCAGGTTAGGCAGTCCAGCGCAAGCTGTTGTTTCCTCAAATCTGAAACTTTTTTGTAGATTGGCTCTGCATAAATCAGACCAATATGGAACAGGAATACTTTGCATTCCAATTAATTGGATTCTAATTGGCTTGACTTGGACGGTGTCATCAAAGTGCTAATAAATGTAATTTACTGTAATTTGGTGTGAGTAAATTGAATTGACTTACAAAAAACATTAAAGGTAAACTGTAATTCATTTTACTAAATTTTTCTGAAAACATTATTAAGAAGAAGTTTGCGAGGAGGTGTGTTTTCGTTTGTTAACCTAAAAACTTCTGCTGAAAAGTTGCACAAAATCTGCCTCAGGTTTCCATTATCCATGAGCCCCCAAAGCACATGGGTTCTCAGCAGCGTTCCTGCTGTGTGAGCACCGAACTCACCCGTCTTGGTGTTTCCTCCCTTGTAGGAGATTTTGTTGATGGCATCCAACAGATGCTCCTTGTTGCTGTACGAGTTCAGTTTGAACTCAGTCCGAGCGTCATCACTGAACTGGGAAATAGCCACCTGCCAGAACAGAGAGATGTTCCATCAAATTAAAATATACCGCTAGTTAAAGTGCAAGAACTCAACCAGGCTCTAAATCCAAAGCAATTTAAAAAAAAAAATCCTTTGGTGACTTAAACCAATCTGTTCTATCATAGCTTTAAAAATATGCTACAATATCAAACTATTCTTTATGGCAATCTTTTTTTTTTTTAAAGTCAATAGTTGGGAAAATTACCAGACATGTACTTGATGCTCATTTATCCATGAGAGTGAACATTCTACCCCGAGCATTTTTTAATTAGGACAAAAGATGAAAAGGCAGGGGGAGAGATTGCAATAGGCACTGGAACAAAACAAGAATATTCCCCATAGACATACAGTCATTCTTTTATATTTGCCTGTCTTTTGTCTTACTTCTACCACCATCTGCTTGAAATTCTAACGGGGCCCAATGCAGGCAGCCTTATGTTATTCTGATGTTAGCATCCAAACGCTGTAAAAATATCCACTTTTGGTGGAAAACAAAATATAAACAAGCTTTGAGAAAAATGCTAATAGACCACAAAACTTGAAATTCTAACATATTTAGGCCACATGGGAGCTCCAGGAGGGCAGAGACTATGCAAATGACAGCCGAAATAAATAAAAACTGAGCATAACTGTTGGAACACCAGCGTTTGCATTTTTAAAGCACTGGAACTACACAGATTCCCTGTCAATCAGCCTTTTATTTTTATGCTGATGGTACGGCAAGCTGGGGGTAAATTAGAAAAATGTAGTAGAAGAGGAGGAGGAGGAGAAGGAGGAGGAGGAGGAAGTATTTTGGACAATTTTCACCGCAGAAAAGAGTGGAGGAAAAGCTGCCAACAAGGGTGCAACATATGCTAGAAACGCACTACGACAGATGTTGGGCTCAAAGAGCATACTGACAGAAGGCCAGGAATATGGAGAATGTAGCCATCTTAAACTTTCTATTTCACCAATTTACAGAACTTTAGTAACGTACTTAGTAACATTAATTACTCATGTCTGTCAGTAGCTCCATATTTAAAGGATATTTGCTGTTTTCTTTGCAAAAACTGTCTGTTTTTATTAAAAAAATGCAAAATTCAAACATACATGAAGCAAAAAGTAGCGAAAAACAACATCTCAACCGAAAGAAAAGCTCCAAGTCTGTCATTTAAAAAAATGACATATTAAGCAGTGTACATTGAGATCCTCCAGACAGAGAGTGCTTTAAACAAAAGCGACATCCTATTATGAGTACAACTCTTACTTTCTGCAACCTGTTGTGGGTGGTGCACTGTAAACCTGTTACGGCTGTTCCTGCGTTTCCCTTCAGCCACTGTCTGCGCAAATGTGATCTTCATACAAAAACTTACCTGAGTGCCGTCTGGTCCAATCCGGTCGAGAGCTCCGACAGTGCTGTACAAGAAACGGATGATCTTCAGGAAGTTTTCATCACCGATGCTCCAGGAGCCATCGACCAGGAAGGCCAGGTCTGCTTTGGCTGCTTTGCAAACTAGACAGACAGAAAAAAAAAAAAAAAAGCAACTGAATGATTCTGCTCCTATCATTTAGGAAACTTATTTGTCTCCCGCCCTTTTCACTACGTTGATTGGTTCCATTGATCTCCAAAAAGACAGACCTTTTGACTTAATTCTGATGGATGACAATGCAAGGGGAAAAAAGCCTGTTTGATTGATTAGACTTGAAGAGGTCCTGACTTGTAAACAATTGAAACTGCATCAAACTCATTAAATGCAAAACACAGAGTTGCCGCTGTTGCTCTTCAACAGTCATTCCAATCATTTCCTTTTCTCCAGTGAAATCACATCCACAGGTGAGGTGGTGCCACATTGATCTGCGGACAAAATCTATTCATCATCTACTCTTTGTTTACTGCACACATTTACTAAATAAATCATATGAAAAAGGATGAAAAACAAACTAAAATCATCATTAATCATCTTTTCCAGGAGGAGATGAGGTTTGCTTCGGCCTTGGCAGCAGAGATTGGAACGTGTCCAAACTACAAACTGTGGAAAAGTTTTTGAACGGTAAAAACTTGGAATTAAATCGCACTCGTTTAGATTCCAGATAGAGATGACGAGCAATGAGTTAATATATCGACAAATGTTACAAAAATCAAGTTTAAAAATAAAAGAAAAAGTATTTTGCTTGTTTTAAAACAACTATTTATATTCTTGCCTTACAATTGCCAAGTTTAAAGCAGTCGTTAGCCCATTTAGCTCGTCCCACTTTTCTTGGGCTGGCACTATTCCTGACACACTACAAATGTATTATTCCGCATGTAAATAAAACGAAAGAAACATTCTTATTTTACATTTGAACTTTAATCCTTTGAAAATGACCAGAGTGTGTGGGATTTTTCAGCTTTTCGTGAAGAGGAACTCATTAGTGAGGAGAATGGAAATGTTACATTAGCAAGACTTAAATGTGAGCGTCTGACATATTAATTGTTGACAAACCGGTGCCCTTGCTCAGCACAGCTGCCTGTTAATAGATAGAATTAACCGACGGCTCATGCGGCAGCCGGTGTTAGCCCTCCCGTCTGTTAGAGACTGCTCCAGTCGATGCATTTTTGACGGCGACTAATTAATCTCTGGTTTATTCAGGTCAGGCCTGGTTGTGCTTGGGTTCCCTTCGGACTGAATTTCTCTTTTGTTAAAATTAATCAAGGCGCTCGCAGTTGAAGACTTTTTTTTTTATTTGCTGCACCCAGAATTCACTCCGTTGTATTATGACCGGGTGAGGAATGATTTTCCACCTTAGGCGGGTTATCTTCATCTGGGGATGTCTAACATGCACAATAAGTAATTTATTCATTTGTACCTAATGAGAAAACGAACAAAAACATAATTCGGCAAATATTTCACACGCTGTTTAGACTAAAACCGGGTCACTTTACGAAAGCATGCTTGGATATCATCTGGTCTTATTAAGTCTTATATCATGAAATTTCTGCATATCAACGGCTGCATAATAAATTGTCAGCCTCTCACAACATGCCCATGGCTTCCACATTTGAAAAAACAACAACACACAATGTTTTAATGACAAAATTCTTTATCTTTAATAAGTACTTTGGTATAAGTCTAATAGTTAATGTGCAATCTGCTTAAATGCACTCATACATATATGCATATGAGTTCAGGATCATTGACCTCTCATAGGACCTCTTCTTAAGGTACCTCTGTCCACATCTTAAAGCACCTGATTTGCATAATAAAGAGGAGAAAAATATTCTTCTCAAACCAAACGTTATAAGACAGAGGGATCCATCAGTAACATGCAGAAAAGACAAGACACCGAACATGGTGGCTCTTGTACTTTGGCTGTGAAAGTCTTTCCTGCCTTCGCAAATAGAAAAACAGCTCGGCCTAATTTGTGAGTGAAGTTTTGACTCGATGACATGTTAAAAAAAGACGTGACGAACTGCAACAGACCCCAGTTTACATTCAAAGTATTACTTTGTATCTTGTGCTGAAGACTTCTCTGTAATTTTGTGTTTGAAAAGTGTGCAATTATTAAAATGGAAAACCATTACTCCTTTCCGTGTCATCCATACATGAATGTCGGAGCCTGCGTTTATCTGTCGGGACTGTGACAGCCTGTGCGTTTGTGGGAGTTAGTTTCTCGGTTCAAAATGATTGTCGGTGCAGAAAGAAAAACAGGGTTCAAATACTTCCAGCTCACCATATCTTTCCAGTTACTTTCAGCTCTGTTGTCAGATGTAAATTCAGGGGGATTTCTGATTATAATGTACTTGGTTCTTTGCTTTTTTTTATTTTTAAAGGCATCATTTTCTACTACATCATTACATTAACTCGTTGTCCCATAGTGGCAAATTTAGCTGTGGAAAATGACATTTTGGCGTCGCAACCTCAGGCGTCATTTAGTATGTGAGAGTTTTCTGGGTTTATAGGGCTTTGTGAATATTTTTGGCCAATGCACTGCAGTAGGACATCATCAGATGGAAATGATAACTTTTTGCAAAACAGCGTTAAAAGTAAGAAATGAGTTCCTACCTTCTTTAGCAGAGGGGATTGTGGGTATCGGGGTGGTGGTGGGAGGCCTGGTCGGCGCTGGGGTTGGGATCGGCTCTGCGTGTAGGACACACACACACACACGTACACACACACACACACACAGGAAAAAACATGAAAACCTGCAATCGTGATGGTGTTCATCATAAAACAATCATCACAGCCTAAACGACGCCATCAATGAACTCCCCTGAGCAAAGGACACTACAGAAACCACTAAGGGGAGGGGTGAGCCTCAAACGGCCCTCGTGGTCACATACATCAACCATTGAGAGCCTGTAAAACCGCTGCATGCAGCTGTGTGATTGCAGCTCCTGTCTAATTTGCTAGATTGATCACAGTGTCAGCAGCAGTCGAAGCCAAACGCCTGCCATCTCAGTCGACCGGGTCCCGTCTGCGTGTGTCACGCTGCCCGCACACAACATGCGCACGCTCTATGCATCCAGCGCCGTTTAGGCAGTAAATCAGCTACCTGATGCTGGGAATTACTAGTGACGGCAGGTGGGGAGTCTTCGGCGGCGACGGCTGCCTGCAGCGACGGGTACAGTCGTTTGGAGGGAAAGCTTCGGCTTTCATTTGCATCAAAACAAAGCCATAAATCATCCAGAAGGCTCTCTGTAGAGCTACAGTACTTCAGGGAGCAGCTACAAGCAAACAGACCTGCTTTAGGGGAAGAAATTCCTCTCTTTATTCCCTATTTTCCTTAAGTCTTTGGAGATGTTTCTTTGTTTTGCTTCAACTTCTTCAGCCTTTTCTGTTTACTGTGTGTCTACACACACTGGTTTGGGGTTTTCAATACTTTATTAGTTCCAGTACACTAAAGACGGGTACCATAAACAGGTCTGACTTTAAATGATGATGGCTTTTTTATCTCAGGAAATAATATAGCTGGCAAGATTTCTTTTACTGAGCATAATTATCAGTGCAGTTAAGTTCAGACTGTTGAAATTTCTCCTGCTGAATCGGTTGTTGAATTGCTCGTTTCAGGTTCACCGATGTTCTTTTACCAGCTCAAATCATTTCAAACGTTGGCATCGTATTACTGACTTTATTTATTTTTTTTACTTTTTATTTACTGAGTATGATGCTTGTAGGAAATAGGAAATGAGTAGGAAAGCAGCCCAGCTCTGCCTTGTCTCCAGACAGTGGGACTTGATTGGTGTTTGGAGCTGCTGCTGCACAACAAAAGGCTGCTTCTGCATGAAGGATGGGGATTCAGCTCTTGTCGCTCCCACAGGGTTAAAAGAGATTGTATGTTGAAATTGACGTGATTTTTTTTCTCCCAGAATGCTCTGCCCCTTTCCCACGACACACATAAGATGGGAATTTAACACATTGTCTGGATGATGTCATGCACAGCTCCCTCCATTTCAATCAGATGCAAATCCTCTCAGGGTAAAATAAAAATAAAACACATGGTAAGGGTATCTCATGCTCATAGAGGTGAATGTGAAGCGTGTGAGTCGTGGATTCTTACGTGTCTTCACAGTGGCGGTGACTGCGGGACCTTCAGTGCCGTCCCGCAGCTGAGCATACACACTGATCTTATACTCCGTGTTGGGCTTCAGGTTGTTGAAACAGTGCCTGTCGGATCCTCCAGCCACCTTGGTCTCCTGTTTGTGACTGCCTGCAAAAAAAAACAAACAGAGGCAAAAATCAAGTTGTGATTACTTATGCAAAGGTTTCTCATTATTTTGGAATATCTCAAATCTAAGAAATTTAACATGTATAAAATATTTTAGTATCTCTTTGAACCACTTCAAGTGACATTTAATATGACATACTAATAACTTATTCACGTGTTTGTACTCCTCTTAGCAGAAAGAAAGACAGAAGACAATGAGGAACAAGCTGAGAACTACAGAAAAAGTCACAGCGTTTTGGTTTTGTAGATATTTAATGATGGTTGACTGAGATTGTCTGGGCTTTGCTCTTGTCTGAATTTGGTGAGTTTTGTGCTGTATCATTTCCTGCTTCGAGAAAAATAATACTTGTTTTGTTTTTTGTTTTTTCTTGTCCTCCCTGCTGCTCCCCTGTTTTTTCACCTTCGTATTGTTTCTAGTTGCATGCAGCTTCTGGGATTTCTTGCCTTTGCATATGAATAAACAAATGGGATTTTTTGGGGGTTGAAACATTTACCTGTTGTGTCCTTCACACACACATCGTGATCAGCATTGTCAGAGCTACTTTCTCCCATTTCTATGGACAATTCTATTGCAACACTCACAACAGTTTGCAAGACCATATCTTCCATTTAAAATGGTCACACATAATCACACTACTGTAATATTTGCATATTGTAACATTCCTGTGTTCTGAATGATGTGATACATGATATAGAATAACGGTAAATAGTAAAAAAGAAACTAAATTGGTATTTGGTTTCACTTTTTCTTTTAGTTTTTTTTTCATTTTCATTTCCACATAAAACTGCAGGAAATTAAATATTCAATGAGTAGAAATCACAGACAGACAAACCCAATTACTGTTTGTCACCCTGTTTACCTCAGGCTGGTGATTATGGTCCAATGGTGAAATGTCAAATTTAGTTTTTCAAAGGGAATTTTCCTAAAACACAATCACTTCTCCGACATCGTCGCAGCGGGCAGGTGGTACATTTTAATGACTCAAGGAGCTACAGAGTTGTTTTTAAAAATGTATTATACAACTCTCAGGATGCATGTGCTTAAAAGCTTTCAAGTGAAGGTCCTTTAATATTGCACAGATGACAACAGGCAAAAGAACATTATGTACAAATCTGAAGACATTTATTCCCCAATGTGTGCAAAAGATGAATGAGGGGGAAAATGAATTTAAATTAATATTAAATCAATTGCAGGAGTTGTCAAATAACCATTCTAAATATTCTATAAAGTTGACCGTCTCTATGAGGGATATCTAGGAATATGACAGAAACGTTTATGAGGGTAATGACTTTCCATGACTATTAACAATCAGCAAATAAACCTGAGCACAGCATGAAATATTCACACAATTTATCGCTCATGCTGTGAGGGTGCGACATAACAGGACCGCATGGGAGTTTTTGTGTTCATGACCAACAATCATGTACTGACGGGTAAAAACCTTTGAAACCAATCAAATGTGGCTCACAAGCGCAGAGGTAAATTAATTCAGAGGCACTGTGAATATAAACCTCAGGTGAATTAAAGAAAGGCTCGTCTGTAGCACGAAATCGTAGATCGTAAAGTCTTTTTATTTTAAACCCATCTCACAAACCAGCCTCCTTCCATCTCACTAAATTTTAAGACATTCCACATAAAAATATATATATCCTCACATCATCCCCCTCTTCCCCCTGTAGCACACACATCTCCAGGGTAATTATATACCAGCTGTGCTGACATAAATCCTCATTTAGCTCTATTGTGTGTTGAGAGGACCAACACACTGGAGCTCCCTGAGGAAACACGGGGGATTGTGTGCCCTTTATGTGACGTTAATGATGGCAGTGTTATTGCGTGAAGCCTAAAGGTGATGAATAACAGCCATTACTTTCCTATTTGGTGGTTGACGGCTGTATTAAAAGTCAATCTCACCTATGAGATGGTGACTGAATGGTATATCTGTGAAATTGAATCAGGGACACCCCGTCTGCTGTTTGATGTTATTTTGGTGCGTTGAAGTCTTTTATCACTTTTACAAATATGGAAAAAACCGAATTATTTCTGATGGTGGCTACATAGAATTTGAGGTAAGGATGTTATTTGTTCCACAGAGCTGAATGTTTCTATTTTTGAAGGCTGAGCCAAGAGAAGATCATATCATAGTGTGTGAATTCAGCATAGGGTGCAATTAGTACGTCTGGGTGTGATTTTAAGATGTTATGTACAGATAAGTGTGGTATGTTTACCAGGTGAAAAAGACAACTTGTTTTAAAGCAAGAATCTTGCATTTTCCACATTGTTGCTGTGGTTAAATGTAATTTATTCCAAAAGTGTACCCCCAAAGAAGCCAGCACAACAACTTATGGAGGTATCATAAAGAATAAAATAACCTTACAGTTTACAGCCTAACAAAAAGCCCAGCTTGCTTTCAAACTGTGTAATTTGAATCCTGATTGGTAATGTCAACTTGAAAATACCTGATTTTAATCATACCAGATGGCATGAAGGAAATAAACACTTTACAATCTTTAATTTAATCTGAAAATATATTAACCAGTTGTGACTATTGTACGGCTGCTAATAAGCCTCCTGAGAGCCTTTCAGTGATTGGTTCAAATTAAATGCCAGCAAATGACCCAAGCTGACCCCGGATCTACAAAAAACTGATTGTTCGCAGTTGCGAAATATGGATTTTATAACTTAAAAACTTTACCTAAGTCAACCAAAATCTGATTTCAGGTAGTGCCATCATAAAATAGTGGTAATTCAAAGTTTGAGTTTTTGTATTAAATTCTATCAAGGAAACATTTGGTATGTTTTATCAGCTGTCAAATGACCAAGTATATATTGTGCTTTGAAGTAAATGTACCCTGACATGCATTTGAAAAGCTGCTGTTCCTATGTGATAACAGTCAAACTGTTCAGGAGTAAATGCTCGCAGGTCATCGTTGGGTGGCTGGAGTGTGTGTGTGTATGTGTGTGTGTGTGTGTGTGCATGTGCTCTGAGTCTGTGAGCTCAGTTGGTATTCGTTGATCAGGAGGAATTTGTTTTTTTCTCCCTTAAAACATGACTCGTTTCTATTTTATTCCAAGTACACAGTTTGTAAATGGCACTGCCAGTCTGTCTCCTTCCAGCTGTTTTTCAAGCTGAAGTGGTCAGAAGTGACTTTGGTGTGAAACAACTCTACAAAAGGCACGCAACTGCAGCCTGCTCCCGTCTAGCTTGAGAGATTCAAACAACTCGGTGTCCTCGTGGCATCTTCAACATGACAACAAAATTTGTCTGTTGGAGGATCCAAATGGGACAAAATAGGCCAATTTCTGTAGTGTTTCCACCGAAATCAAAACAGTGCACCGGATAAAACTCTTGCTCTGTGTGGTGATCGTTTGTGCAGACCGAAGTTAGAAAATCCACCTTAACAAGTAATGCTCTCAATACTCTTGGGTTTGACTGCCATGCACATCTGTAGTGACTCACGAGGGCAGCGCTTTTCCTCTCTTTTCTGCACCCCCACAGGGAGCTACAAATAGAAGCAGTTTGGGTTTCTCTTATTTCCATCTTTCAGAGAACAGACTATGGGTGCAACCCAACCACAGACACACTCTCATGAGAAGAATTCGATTCTCTTTCTCGTCTCCTTCATCTTGCCAACCAGAATAGACTCAACAGGACGCAATTACATTCCTGTGACAAGAGCATCTCATAACTTGGCATCCATAATACCAACATTTTTGTCTTTTCCCTGTCTTCTACCCTGTCTTCTACCTAATGTAAATGTCACCATAGCTGTGATTCAGAGGCCCTTCTATTGCGCAGAATGGGCCACTGTTTGATTGTACAACTAAACCTTTGGGGCTTTCGGCACGTCTCTATCGGGATACAACAACATCTTTGTCATCTGCGGCTGCCCGGGGATTCAAACTCCCCCTCACGGACGCACACGAGCGTCCTCCCCACCGGCTCAGAAATGTGGCGTAGGAGCTCAATGGGAGAGTGTGAAGAGGAGATTTACAGCCGTACGGCCAGAATGAAGAGGCTGCGGCGATGTGCAGTCACGTTTAATAATTTTACGGGCCTTGTTTTTAAATCCCTCATATAATCCCTGAAGAAGCACGGTGGTACAATAGGGGGGAAAAAAGCCCAAACATTTGTGAGACATGTTCTTCCAATATGAAGACATGGATGATTTTTATTATCCCGCAGTGACGGATATGTCATCCAGCTCAGACACAACACAATTCTAGCAAGTATACAATCTAAGTCCAACATCTGTTGGAAGAGGAAAAGCTCAAAAATCCCTGTGACTGATTTTCTAAAGAATCAGAACAAAAGATCAGGATAAGTTTTTCTATGCATGCTTTAGCCTTCACTAGCTCCAGCGCTGTTTCATATCTTAATCTACAAACCTGTTTTCCAGAAAAGTTGTTCATTACAGAAAGGGCTTTAGGCAAATCTCGAATCTGGAGTTTTTTTTATTTCATGTAACCTTTTTTCATTCGAAATGAGTACGTTGAAATTGTGTCCGTGTATTAACTGGACAACTTAATGTCAGGAGCGCGCACTTTGGCAAAGATATATACACAGGTGAAAGGAGAAAAAACTTTTTTTTCCCACAAATAACTTTGGTCTTTCATCATCTACGGAGCATAATGTTTTGAAATGATTCAGACGCTGTGGAAATCTCAGTATGTAAAGGCTGAGGCCAGGTGGACGACATTCAAGCCCTCAGGTGGCATTGCATGAGAAACTGTCATGCCACCGTGATCAATGCAGCCGCATGGGCTCAGGAGTGCCTTGGAAAACCATTTTCAGTCAACACTCTCATCCAAAAATGTAATCTGAAAACATTACGCAAGGAGGAAGCCGTATATCAACTGTGTGCAGAAACACTGCCAAGTTCTCTGCATACGAGCTCCACTCAGAGGGACAGGAGGACGTGCTCTGTGGTCAGATGAGTCCACGTTTCAGACGTTGGAAAAACTGATGTCTGAACATCTGGATGTTCTGCAAGACAACTAGACAACAGGCCTGCCGCCCAGATTGTTTCAAACAGGGAGGGAATGGAGCATCAAGCGGAGGAGATGAAGTACAACACTGCTGCTGAGCAGCAGGATAACACACTCCCTGTTTATGTTCTTTAAGTACTTTTAAGCTGATCTGTAAACACATTAAAAAATATGCTTTCTGAACAAACATTTAAGCAAATGAACAGAAAGTTTAAGACATTTGACTCTTATGTCAGAAAGCTAAACCTTCTGTTAGTGGAGTTCATTCTTTCCTTACTTCGTTACATATTGTGTAAAATGTCACAAGTTCAGACAAACAAATATCCGTCTATCAATTTATCACTGTCAGTCAGCAGAGCGAACCCAAATATTTGTATTCCACCTTTAATTTGAAAAAAACCAGGTCAGCAGAGGAGAGGAGGGCACATGAAAAGTTATATTTGGGGACAGATTAAGCCGGTCATTCAATGGCCCCTTCTAAAAATAAAACCTCGCAATATATCACTACACCGTTTGAGACTTCTTCAAAACTTACAATAACAACATGAAACTTGGAATTCTAACTTTAAAGTCTTTGCTCAAAGTTTCATATAATACTTGAACCCCAAACTTTAGATTGATAGTCATGTGTTGGATCCACTCATCCCTCTGCAGCCTGAGGGATTTGTCCGTCCTTAGCCAGCCTCACTTATTTTTCTCAAGTCTCCCTGCCTTAAAGGACTTAAAGAGATATGGAGCTTTTCAGGCAGAGGTTGACGAGGAGTCCTGCAGCAATGTATCATATTGAAAATGAATGGATTATTTGAACAAGAAAATGTATTTCTATATCTCTAAAAGCTTCATACACACACATATTAAATGTATACATATATATTTAGAATTTCCATTGAAGTTGTAAAGAGATGGAATTAAATTAAAATGCAGTATAGATGTGGTGTGGGCTTAGGGTTGCAACAACACGTAAATAGAAACACTTGAAGTCGTTATTGATGCTGCTTTTGCAGGTATACTCACGGGCGACTGACTGAATGGCCACTCTGTAGGCGCTGGCGTGCTGGTGAGGCTGCCACTGCGCACACACACTCGTCATCCTCACCTGGTACGTGCTCAGGTTGGTCACCCCGAGATACACTGCAGGAAGGACAGAGAAAAGTGTCACCGTTTAGCTTTGGACGGTTCGTGATGAGGGGAGTTGAAAAAATATATCTGTCTAAACAGGTGGGGTTAATAAAATATATAGGTTATTTATCATTCTATTTAAATTTAAGTTGTTCTGTAACAGTGAGTTCTGGTAGATTCTGTCCAACTCCACTCACATTGTCCCAGTCATTCCTCTAGACCATTCTTTTTTTCTGGAGATTTAAAAATATGCATTATAGAGCTGTGCACATTCTTCTCTCCACAGCATTGCCGCATATAACTGCAGTGGGCCCAAATGAAAGGAACCACATACAATCATGCGTCAAGATGACAGACGGAAAAAGAGCAGCAACTGCTTGGTTTCAAGGACACCAAAGTTATTTGCAGGCATGGGGAGAAATACAGATGCACCGTCTCAATACGCATCGCTTTATGTGCACATTCCCAAACAAACCCACAATCTATTTATGCAAATGGAATGTATGTGCTTTCAGTGTCCGACTTTTCAAAGCAGCACTTGTTCTGAGCTGAGAGACATTAGCATGCATGTTTCTGGGAGTTGGTAATGGTCTTGTACATCTCAGTATATTTCGCTTCGACTGTAACAAAACAGAATAATTTCAATACGAGCCAAGTACCTAATCTACATGATTTTGACCGCCATATAAATGCATAATGCCTCTCTGCATATTTTTGCTGTAAAGAAGTCCCACTATAGACGTTGGTGAGAAAATCAGGAAGGGTTATTTTTCTCTATAATAAATATAAAAACAGGGGGTAAAAATATCCTTGTTTTAAGTTCCCCAGCCTAATAGGTGGATTGCAGTTTTATGGTTACCGATTTGAACAATAAAAGAGAACAAGGCACGTAGAGGTTCAGATTACCTCCAAATTCCCTCTAAATATTTAGAACAGCAATAACATTTCAAGTTACACCTCTGAACTTGCACTTCATTTCCTCCTCACCCAAGATGCTACTTACATTAGCACTAAAAGAAATTGGAGCGTATCTAAAGAACTTTTTTTTACTTCCACTCCTCTTCACACTTGAACTTGAGCACAACTTCAACTAATTATTACACATGCTAAAACCCCTATTTCAGGTGTGGCACTAACTACTTACAGATACTTCAGATATCCCCACTTACAAGGAAAAATAATTATTTCCCCGTTGAATTTGGAAAATATTCCTATGGATGTGAATATTATATGGAAAAATGCATTTTTATCCGTCAATTAATAAGGATATACTGAAGGCAGCTGATTTATCATTACAGGAATTTTGTATTGAAACAAAATGAACTAAGCAGACAAGTTATCAGCTCGTTATATGATGATTTTGTTTTAAAGTTCTCAACAAGTTTGATACTTGGTCAATTGCTCGACTTTGACGCCTCAGTCCACTCATCACTTCAGGCCCATTGGCTTCATTAGCATGCTGCTGAGGGAGATAATACACGCTCCATTCCCCCCCGGGATCACACCGGCCTCACCATCTTTCTCTCTTTTCAAATAAACCAATCTCTCCATCTTTCCCAGCCTGCCCCATTCCTCCCACCTCTTTGTCTTTCCAAACTTGTCCTTTATTTCAACCGAGATGAGATTAATTGTCATTCAGGTGATGAGAACTGGCTTCAATGCCAAGTGACATGCTCCATCTAAAAGGTGCATGTTTGTGTATCTAGGTGACACTCGTACTTAGAGGCCTTACACAAGGCGGAATGAAAATGGATGATGGGGTGGGGGTTGCTGTCCGATTCGAGGACACTTCAAAAGGACGTGCTTTCGCTTGACCTCTTTTGGTTATCGTGGAGATCAAAATGTTGACTTTTCAGGTTCAAAAAGGATTATTTCACCAGTGGTTCAGAGTCTTGTGAGGAGGTTAATTATAATGCAAGGGAGGGAAATCCAAACTTAAAATCAAATAATCGTACTTAAGAAGCAGGCCAGGCACTCAAAGAGCTCTGGGGTGACTTTACATAGTCAATGAGATAAGTTAAAGCCAACGCGTCTAGTTCATCCAGGCCCCGTTTATAATTAGGTGAAGTTGTCATTAGAAGTATTTGTAGGATATTGAGATATCGACATTATGGCTGTCTAGCTGCTCCAGTAATTAGATTAAAGAAGATTTCTGTATTCAGAACATGGACAAAGAAGGCTGACATCAATGATTAGGGGCAGAAAGTGCTCGCCAAGCACTGAAGAAATACATTCTCTGAGAGAAAAAACACTGTCCAATTAGTATTCAAACCAATTTACACCACAGCGATGTACAATCCTTAGAGCCACAAGTCTCACTTGCATCTATAAATGTTTTAATTTTTCAGTGGCCGAGATGTGGTTTTATTGTTGGAAATGTAGGAACATTTTTAAAAAGAGAAAATGTGCAATGACAGAACTAATTGTATAAATATCTATGGATGCTCCCATATGCATTGATCCTAAATTAGGTGGATTTGTATATCATTTCAAATTCTATTGCTATTTATCTAAAAATGTGATTATTTGTTTTTACTTTGAATGAAAAAGCTTCATTGTGTCTAAAATTTATAGAATTTTCTACGCATCAAGCTCTGTCATCTACTCTATTTCGATTGAAAATTTACTCAAACATGTATCCATATGTATAAGAATAAAAAAATCAAAGCGGTGACTTAAATTCTGAGAAATGGACGACAGGCTTACATGTCTTTGCCCTTCCTGAGAGGGCCTCGCTGGAGCCGGTGGTGTAGGATGCGATGACTTTGACGCTGTACTCTGTTCCGCTCAGCAGGTTGACAATCAGAATGGTGTTCACGTCCTCCCCGACAAAGGTCTCCAGAGCTGATCCAGGGGCTGCAAAAGGGCAGGATAATTGAGAATGCACATCAAGGAGGAGCAAATGACCCGTGAAGGGAAAAGGCGCGGAGCAGCAGGTTCAGAGGTGATCATTAGATTCAAATCTAGCAGGAGATGAATTCCTGTCCTCTTTTGGCCGGACCTGATCGTTTGTCCTTGAAAAACCCAGCAAACTTCAAATAGAATCCCGACAGGAGCTTTAACTCGATAATTTTTGTGTATATTATGCCAGAGGTGACTAGCAAAGCCTTGAGCTATCGGCTGTGTTCAGGTTCCGTCTGGCTTGACTCATTTCTTTGCTCCAAACTCCCAGGAGCAAAGCGCTAACTTCTGTTAGATAAAAATCAGGCTTGACATGACATGCCTCTAATTTGCAACAGACTAAGATTACTTGTCTGTCTATAAAACACTTGGATTGGTTATTGCTTTGTAGCAGAATGACCTTAAATGATGACTTCATTAATAATAATCATTATTAAAGAATGACATAAATAGCCCTGTGATTGCCCTTGACCCCTCCAGTGTGTACTCTGTCTCTGGGCCTAATGACCGCTAGAACAGGCTCACTCCTCTGACCCTGAATTGAATGAAGTGGGAAAAGAAAATGGGTGAATGGGACATATCATTTTCTGAATATTACCACAAATACATAAATGAGAAAAATTTACTCTATAAGATACTACAGGATTACTACACTAGATAAGATGACTTATCTTATGTATTATATTTGTTTGTTTCTTACCAGAAAGAGGCTGGTACACAACCCTGTACCCCATGGTGGGTGAGGGGGGGACATCCCAGCTGATCCTGAAGCGGTTGTACCACTCCTCTGAGACTCGCAGGTTTTTAGGGGCGGAAAGAGGAACTAAGAAGGATACAGAAAAAAAAAAACACATATTCTAAGTAAAATAGGCTATTGGGACACAGACAGGCTTACAAATGGCAACTATTAGTCAATATAGGAGCGTATTCAAATTTGAATAACACAGGAGGCGGAGTGAGGAACAAAGAGACAGACAGCATGTTAAGTTAAAGTAAAAAAATATTCTCCTGCATCAAAACTCCATCTAAGTGTTTAGAAAGAATGTTCAAAATAAAATGTTTTCCTTTGATTTTCTGTCAGAATTGTGATTTTCAAGCCTCCTGACCCATCGCAAGCGGTACTTTTACAGTCTGTTTGCAGCTGCTTCTGATAAATTGTGATCCTTGGCAGATCCCCTTGGTAAATGGCATACGTGAGACTCCCCGGGTCTTAAATCCCAGAATGAATCTGTTAGCTGTTCAGTTACACATTTACAGAGCAGAAAACCTCCCATTATTCTCTCCGTGTTCCATTATTCCTCCCCGGACAGAGCATCAGAACTTCTCATGAACTGAAACCTCCAAATTACACCAGCTCTTCTGCCTCATGTCCCTCTTCGCCCTCCATGCTCATTGACCATTAAAAAACCAATCATACTCTGCACTGAGCTCCCCCATCAGTATCTGCTGCAAACTTGCACTGCATGTTCAAATCCCCATTTTATAATCTCCACTTCTGATATTTTATGTAACTTCACTGGGGGTCTTTTGGCAACTGTAACATTGATTCCCCCCCATGTGTGAGCCTGTAACAGGCACATTTGATGAACTTGTTTTTAAAATGCAAAGGTGATAATTATGTATCTGAACTGTTAAGACCACAGTTCAAACACCAGCTATGTATTTGTTATTAGCTGAGAATAGAAAGAATGTCGTTTTTGAGATCTCTGGCAAAAGCAAGCATTCTTCACAGATCATTTTTAAGGTCTAATGTCACCCATTTGATGGTCCACTTTCAAAATTATTTAGGTATTCAATAATCCAGGCCCAAAGTATCCACTTTTGTTGAAGTTTTTTCTTCCCTTTTAAACACTGCTTTAATTATATTTTTCTATTTTTCTTCTTTTTATACCATAACTTAATGTCTAAACTTAAATCAGTGTAGTTTTAGAAGTTATGAAGTTGATATAGGGATTTGAAAGTCACACACATTTGAATTTCATAACTTTGCCTGAACTACTTCTCCACAAAAATCCAGTCAAACAATGTTGACCGCAGGGTCAAACGTCCAGGCTGCCTTCACACCGCTGCTTCATTTGCTTCTTGCATATTTATTCTGTGGGCTGGAGGTTAGGGTCAGGGGTTACGACAGAGATTTTAAAAGTGTGGTGGCCAGAATCCAACCCCTTTTGACTCCTACTGTGAGGAGATGTGGCAGACTATCAGATTGTTGACTCCCGGGCTAACTCTGCACGGCTGAAACGATAAAATGAACTGACCACTGAGAAATAGCCTTCGGAGGATTTTCATCTTAAAGAAAGATTTGAAGTTTTTTTATCCGAGCTGAGTCACGTTTAATCAGAGGCCTCTCAGGACACTTATCATAAAAGATAAACTTTTCACTACTGAGTTCAGCTGTCTAGTTTTCCAAGACTTTTCTGTCACATTATGCTATTTCTTCTCCTCTTTCTTGGACTACTATGGTCTGTCCTCCTCTATATTCCTTCCACACCTCTCTAACTAATCCCATTGCCCCTCAGTGGATCTGACCCCTCTGATTAGTCTGCCATTTCTGTCATATTGTCTATTTTCAGTTTGAGGCAAAAGCCCAATCAAACTCTCGGCATTCCACGCAACGCCTCCCTCGGTGGTCGCGCCGTCCTTCACAAGTTCAAATCCCCAGATTACATCGCCTTCTTTCATCACATCATTTGTCTTCACCCTAAAAAACCCCATCTTCTCCCATCTCCGCTTTCCCCGTCATTTTTCCCCAGGTGATCGTCTCATCCCTCACTGGCTAACAGGAACCATTCATCATCACCAGGTGTCAGAGGCCCACGGTTCAAAAAGTGGAGAGCATCGTTAGTGTCTGCTAATGTGTGTAATGTTCAGCACGGGGAGACATGATGGGACGGAGTGGAAAGATAAATTACTCAAATTTAGACTTACTTTCTCGCTGAAAGTCAAGTGTTTGCTCTGTAATGGACTTGGCAGCAAAGGAAGTCATTAGCTCCTGTTTTAGCATTCATGGCAGGAGGAAATAAGTGTTACTCCCACACGTTTCAGGACAGCAAAAAAAGACAACAAAGACAAACAAATGCAGCACACGGAGCTCCTTTGACAGTTTGCAATCTCTTTAACTTCCACTGAAAATTTCTTTAGAATAATGAGGTGCCCAGAAACAAGACTCTGGCTGGGTTTATTTCAAATATGCCCAAACCTCATCTTTCTTGATCTATCTCTTCTAACTGAGAGGTGCTCTGTGAAATAAAATAACATAAATATTCATAATCTAAACTCTTTAAACGGCATTGATTAACAAATATCATCAAAGAAACAAGTCTTTGACCAAGAAATGATCCTTCTTTGTTGTAGTTAATCTCTCAACTGTTGCATATTTTATAATTATGAGTGGTATTAAGTATCATTATTACATTTCTTTAAAATATATGTTCCCCAAGGATTCATGGTTCAAAATAAAGAACAGGTCAAATGCTCCCAGTTTGGCCTCATTTAATTTGGAGGTGAGCATAAATCATGCTTGATGCAGCTGATAGGAGCCCACAGCTTCTGTTGCTGCTTGCTTATTAACACTGGCCAAGTTTTTAGACATGAAACAGATTTTCCCACCCTAATCTTTTAGGTTTGGTTTCTCAAACTCACTGTATTTCTCACACCATTTACAACACATCAGTTCTATGATGAATAAGTCCAGCATTCCCTATTGCCATTTGACTTTGTTTTCCTCTAAATGAAGAAAAACTGGCACTTGGTCACAATGAGCACTTTTGAAGTAAGAAAAAACAACAGACTTACGTGTCTGCCCCACTTGTGAGGCTGTGGGTCCATCTCCCTCTGAATAAACAGGAGTGATGGTGACCTTGTACTCTGTGTCTGACAGGAGGGGCTGCAGAACCAGGCTATTCTGACCAGTGGGCACAGTCCTCTGCAGGCAAAATCAAGAAGGAAATTAATCAGATGGGGTTAAGGCATCCAAAGCTTTGCACAAGTTGTTCAGTCTTAAATATCCTTTGTGTTCACATCTCTTTACTGATTTATTTTCCTGATTATAACTACTGGCCCTCTTACCTTCTTACAATCAAGCAAGAAACAGATACTTGACATAACATTTTAAAGTCCTATTACATAACATTTTAGTCCATTTTAGGCACTAAAATTCACTCAAACACACAAAAAAAATTTAAAAAATATTGTTGGTCGGTCATTTAGATCCTGTCACCGTGAAGCGAGGGATTCAAGAAAAAATCTGATAGGAAATGGGGAATTAAGGAACCTTCTGAGCCAAGGACAGGACAAACAAAACTGTATTAGCCTTTTAATGGAGGTGAGACAGTGAGTTTCTGCTTTGGAGTTTAAGGTTTCAGGTGCCGCAGAGGTTAATTGCACCCATGTCTCAAATGTCAGAAAAGTGGACCCTTTTTGTTAAAACCGATCCCTAAATGGTGCATCCGCCCCTGTGAAGCGCCGTTTTTCTGCTCCAGACACGTTAATCTGCTTCCTGCCCCTGCAGGCTCACTTTCCCTTTTCGAATCTGCTTTTTTCTTCCTCTGTTCCTCCTGTTGTGCCATTCTTTACCTCCTCCTGCTTCTCTCTCTGATCAATTAGTTGAAGTTTATTTTGTCACATTTTCCCTTGTTAAATCAAAACCCTGTGGAGTTCTCGGTCTCTTGTTTCCATATATTTTCTTTTATCTGGCAAATGATATGTCAGCAATATCTATTCTTTGCTCTTTAAAAAATGCTAAAGTCAAGAAGCCTGCATGAAAAATACAACTTTTTGGGTGATTAATTTAGTATTTGACGACAGAGATGTTGTGCTGAGTGGTACAATTTGGAAAGGGAAGAAATACTTCGTCAAAAATGCAAACCTGCAAAATGATATTTGATCATGTACACGAGGGAAAACGGAGCTTATTTTGAGGCTTGCCCTATTCTTCGGGTGGCCGATGCTTTTGTTGTTTTGTGTGTGGGAGAGATCCATTCCTATCCTTAGGGATAACGAACATCAGATTTCAGTTTCCTGTTGTGGTATCCCACTATGACAGTCTCTGAGCCCCAGCCTCTGTCTCTCTGTCAGGCCAGTTTGCATTCTGGGCATGCACAGTCTAGCCTAGCTCCTTCCACAAACCTTTCTACTTCCTAAAGAAAACTCTTTCTAGAAGTCAGACAAACACTGCAGGCCTCAACAAATCAATTTCAGTCCAGTCTGATGAAAAAGGCAGCAGGCCTCGAAGCTGTCGCATAGCTCCAATAAACTACTTCTAGCAAGACTCTGAATGATCACCCCACCTCGTAGTAAATGTAAACATATTTTCATTCAGTATTGATGTAATTTAGAAACCCAATTCTGTTGGAGGGGGGTGCGGGGCTTGAAGGCAAATAGCAGAGAGCAGAGTAAAGTCAACAGCTGAGATATCAGTATGGAAACACGTCTGTTATACGGCAGCTAGCTGTGGACAAACAAAACTTACTTCTGAAAGGAAAGGCAGTTCCTAACCTGCAGAATACATTGACCTGCTACATTAGCACCAGGTTAAGCAATGTGCATTTGTTCTATTGGGACAATGTTCTTATACAGTCACAGAGTTGTAAGATTTCTTGGGCAACGAGGGAAAAAAAAAAGGGCTTGAAATAAATGTTCTGGAGGAAGAAAAAATACATCAATATTAAAACCTAAGTGACCTTGACTAAGTCCAAATGAAGTGAGGCATGCTGATTAACAATTTTATGGTCGTTCTTCCCAGATGTGAAGTCAGAAAATCAGGTTTGGCGTGAAGATGTATGGTCAGTTCGGTTCTCGAAAACTGTAAATGAGCTACAGAAAATCTGTGAGAGAAAAACAAGCGTATAACCAAAAACTTAAACTCTCCCCCGGCAAAGTTTTTACCCCCCAAACATCATTGTGCTTCTGAGCAGTTATGGCCAAAACTTTGTTTACACACAGCAGAATTGCTCTTGATGCCCGGCAGCTTCGGTTTATTGGACAATGAACGAAACAGTGCAGGGAGATAATGAAGCTTCAGCGGGCTCGGGATGGCAGCTGTCTGTGGACAGATGGCAGCAGACTTGGGTGACCCCATGGCTACTCTACAGACCATTGACATCTGGAAAAACCGGGGCAGAGCCATCAGAATGGACATAATAAAGTTTTATTATTTAGAAGCTTGCAGAGGAAAGAGCTGTGAGGGATTCTGACTCGGTGGCAAAATGTAGTTTGTGCGCAATAAAGAGCATTTTCTTCAGTTCTGGGTGGTGAAAAGTAGATATAAAGTTTATGTAGCAATAAAAGGCTTTTGTAATACACAGAGAAGACACAGATCATCATAATAACTACGTGGGATGTGTTTACATGCACCTGAATATTGTAAACCGGCTGGTCTTAATCAAATCGAATGATCTATTAAGCCCTACAGACTATGTCAATATAATTAACGTCCTGGTCATGAATTAAAGGTACCTTAAGATAAATTTAAGTTGCCTTTATGCTTATGTTTCCTCAGGGATGATTTAAGACAGTTGTTTACAGTTTAAGTGATTTGATCAAATTTGTCTTTCCAGCATCAGGGTGCTTGTCTCGGTGATTTGTTAAAGCAGTTCAACTGGACTTAGAAATCATCCAAGCATTACAAAGGCATCTGATTTAATGAATAAACCAGTTTTGTGCCATCATTCAACAGGCAGTTGAGCCAATTAACTATTTGTTAAATAAATGCAAAACATGACGAACTACCTATATGTGAAAGGCTAGAAAATTGTATTTTTGAACCAAAAGGGAGAATTTCAAATAGATTTTGGATAAAAACTTGATCAGTCTCAGCAAGGTTTTGCAGTGTGCCCTTAAAAAATTAGGAACCTGGACACGTGGCGGACAAACCATGAGGTGGCAGGTCTAAAAATACCGTCTGCAGTAGATGAACAGCATCTGAAAGTGATGTGCTTAAAAAATAAAAACGAAAAGACCTGACATGGAACTGTAGAGCGGCATCTGGACCTTCAGTTGATTCATACACTGTTCACAGAAACCTCTTCAGAAATGCTCTCCAAGGAAGGGTCACTGTCAAGGAATCATTCATAAGGAAGGAAAATGGGGAGAGAGGCCGAGCTATGCCAAATGAGACAATAACTGGACTGAAAATCAGTGGCAACTTGTCTTATAGAGTGACGAATCCTCCCCAGAACCCAGACCTCAATATTATTGACGCAGTCTGGGAACATTCTGACAGCTAATGGAACAAAACGCAGCCAACATCCATAGAGGAGCTTTAGAAAGTCCTTTGGGAAGCCCACAGAACTATTATTGAAAACTGTGTAAAGAAACAGTATGAAAACCTCCCTAATAGGGTCCAGGCTTTGTTGAAGAATGAATAAGATCTTTTAGATTATAAAAAAATTTGAATAGACAGAATAGGTTTTCACACCATTTTTGTTACAAGCATTTGACTTAACGATGTACAACAGGTCCTCAGAATGTTCCCAGGATAAAAGCAGCGATGATGAGAGGGAAAGAATCCGGGCACTCGGAGAGGGGATAAAGTTAAGACAAAAGCACTTCAAAGACAAAGTTTTCAAATGGCAGTGAACTTGATAACTTTAACTTATAATAAAGAGAGTAAATTCCCGTTCTGAGGTAAAAGGTTACGAAGCAGAATTGTAATACCACGTTGAGTTTTGCTTTAACATTTTCTAACATCTAATTTATGATGCTAATGCTGATTGAAATCTACTCGGCACGATCTGATCACTACAGAGCTAACAAGTGATGATTTTTTCATTATCAGTAAAACTAGAACCAGATTTCATCAGCGGATATCAGTTGTGATTATTGCTGCACATACATTTGCAATAAGATGCAAATGAGAGACTTTTTTTATTGTAATATTTTCCTTTAGTGGTTGGTAGCTTTCCCTTTGCAGCCGAGAACCGAAGACTTGCAAAACGGCAGAGGAATCCTGCCATTTTTTCCCCCATCCTATTCAGGAGGTAGCTATTGAGTGCCGCACTTGGTGATTCATAACCTGACCAGACTGCCAAACAGAACTCACAGCTGTTCGCACTTTGATAAGAGATCTCATTTAACAAGCTGCTGGTGCGAGCAGCTGGCGGCTCTTTATTGTCAGGATGAAAAGGCTGATGTGGGACCCGTGTTCAGGGTCGGCCATGGAGGCACGACAGCCTCTGGTGTGGAGATGCAACTAATATACACCTGTCAATTCACTGTCACTAACGTATAGGATGCTTTTTTGAAATATTTCAGAACCGTTAACCTGATGTGGTGAAAAGATCCCAACTGCAGCGCATGAACAAAAGTACATAAAAGGAAGCACAATTTTAGGGTATGACAGAAAATATACCACTGAGTTGTTATTTTCCACTAAGAGGCAGGCATTTCATTCAGTTCCTATGAAGACTAATATATTTATTGAAAAAAAAAGACAAAGAAATTGCCAAAGAAACTAAATGGAATTGAATGCATTAGTTCTGATTCATCTTTCTTGTCCATTTTGAAGAACTGAAATGACTTCAGCTTCAAATTGGTCACCAAAGAGTACAGGTTTCATTATGTATCAAACTAGTTTTTCCTCTCTAACCCAGACCACAAATAACTGCCCAAACTGATGAAATGGGTATAAGAAAGCACACTAAGAAGCACACACTCAAAAAAAGACAGTCAATGCTTCCTTCAACTTGGAAAATGTCTTTGATTTGGTGCCAAACCTCAAACTTTTAATACCATACAGAATTTACTAAAAATACATTTCCCTTTATCAGAATTCATAGATGTTTTTGTTTTGTTTGCACAATATGTTAGCCTGGTCTTTACATATCTACATAAGGAAGCGAATGAAGCAGGTTGTGGTCACAAAAAAAAAAATTAAGTTTGTAGCTCAATTGCTCACTCACTTCTATGTTAATAAAATCAAATAAACCGAACAACGTGCAAAAAATTAAGAAGTTGGAACATATTTTTAAAAATATGCACCTTCCACAGGGTGATATCACACGTCTGTAGATATCTCTTTGTTTTATTAACATCACACAAAGGTGCAGACACACAGGTGCAAACCTTTTTTTTTGGAAGCAGTGTTTATTTTCTGTAATGTAAAATCTGCTGTGTCTCATTAGTGTGAAACCTTCCATCTCTGTCTATCCTTCTCTGTCTGACTCATGAAACAAAGTCTTTGAAGATCTGACAGGGTTTTCATCGTCATTATTATCCTCCTCTCCCTCCCCTTTTTTCTCCAGCGCAAGACTGACTGAAGGCCTGCCATCAACTTCCACATCTCTGTCACCCACCAACCTTTGTTCTCTCCAAAGAACTTATAATCTGAAGGCCTGCCACCATCTTCATCAATGACATCCCACCTTCTGCTGAAGAGAGGCTATTTACATCCATTTAATAGCTTCCCAAGGACTTTGTGGACCTTTTACTGCTTACTTGATGAATGGTAGCAAGGACAAACTCAAAGCACTTGGACATACTGAAGCTAGGAAATTACCTCAGTCACAACAACCCTTATCTAAATCCAAACCTAAAAATATCTTTATATATGTAAATATTTATATCTATACACACGTACATATGGAGAATATTGGTCTGGGCTCACATCAGCCTACAGTGTAGAGGGTTTAACATTGACAATGACATTGCTGAGCTTCACTTGGAATATTAACATTTGAATTATAGCTCCTAAATAATAAATATGCTTGTTATTAATGATAGGACCGATAAGTTGAGTCAGCCAGCAGTTTGGAAGATTTAATATTACATTTTCAACCTCCTTGCAGTACTATAAAATCTGAACACAGGTACCCACGGAGGTCTCGGATTCAATTTCTTCTCGGCACATTGCAATTGGTAGGAGGGAATAAATAACCACAAAACTGCTGTAAACCAAACCTGACGTTAACTGTAAATCAATACATGTTCTGTCCTTTGTGGAGGAACAAGATTTAGAAACTGGCAGCGTCCCACCGGCTGAAAAACAGTTTCGAAGTCGACAAAGAAATAAAGCTGGACGCACAATTGCAGCAGAATGCAAACATAAACAAACTTATGACTTCAACGCCGCAACTAATCCAGTTAAAAAGTAACAGCAAAGTGCCGAATGGGCCTAGCCGTCCAAGCAGAGGCCCCCAGATCCCTTTTTCTTCCCTGTTTGAACCATCTCATCCGCCTCCAAATGAAGCACAGCAACTCCAACGGCCAAACTCCTCATCCTGTCCGTAACAGTGAGCCAAACCATGCTTCAGATGTAGCCCAGATCCCTCACGTTTACTCCCAGCCTCATTATTTTGGCCTCTAACCACAGCCTGTTACCATGGGTGAGGTAAATAAATCAACAGCTTCAACTTCCACCTGTTCTTCCTCTTCCTCACAGCATCCACAACATTCCAGATGCTGCCTGTCAGTTCTGCACTTCTTTCTACTCAGACTCATGTGGGAGACTCAGAGACCTCTCCGTGGTTTCCTGCTCAGTATCTTTTCATAAATATCAGAGGGATGAACAGATTAGAAGGAAGAGTAGGTCCGACTCGACATTATCATAAATCTTTGTATGTTGGCTAACCAGCTTCTGAAATCCAATTTAGGCCAATATTGTCGTTTATAATGACATTGCACCTGTAAATTGGTGAGTGAGAATTTATAGTCTTTATTCCAACCTGAGAGGAATACAAATTAGCTGCCCTACAGTTGGATATGTATTTAATACAGTGTTTTTCCACAGGCAAACTGCTAACAACACTCCGTTATTTCAGTTTACAGCAATAATAATGACGTCTTCTCATATCTTCTCTACCGATCGTACGTTTACTGATAAACCCGAGGAAGTCCAGAGGAAAAGCGGGTAAAGGCTGTCCATCTTACCGTCTCCTCCGCTCGGTCTCCCCGAACGCTGACGTAGTTCAGTCGATAATGTCTGATGTTTCTGGAGTCAGCTGGCTGCCAGGAGACCCGCAAACTAAATGTGGTTTCTTCATCAATCCTCATATTCTTCACCCCATAACGAGGAGCTGTGGGATGACATAGGTTGAAAAAGAAAAGAGAAATCAATTATATGAATGAGACACTCAGAAAGTCAAACAACCCACTGAGTGTTTTCCATTAAGTCTTCACTTGAATTCATAGTTTGCATAAGATTAGAAATAAGGAACAATGTAAACACTTCTGTCACAAAGTGGCTTCTAAACCAACTCCTGCAAACAGAAGCAGAAAAAGAATAAAAGAGGATATGTGAAGTCAAATTATGGAAAGAGAGGGAGGACGAAGAATCACAAAAGCTCACTTGCGGTCGTTGTTGTCGTTGTAGCAACAGTAGTGGTTCTTTTAGCTGAAAATAAAATAACAAAATATGAAGTAAGTTTTGATGGCTCTCGTCATATTTGTTTCATTTTAAGGGGCATCTTGCATCACCACTCCTCCCCTCAGTAATCACTGCGACATTATGTGAGAACATTTGAAACCGATTAATTCCTCAGGATGTAAGAATATTTACCGGTGGTTTCTATGAGGACCTCTTCCTCACTCTCAACCTCGTTTGCATAGATGGCAGCCAGGAGGACTTCATACTCTGAGGATGGCGTTAGCCCTGTGATCAGGTATGTGTTCACGTTGCCATTCACCAAGACCTGAAACGAGGAAGGAAATGTGGTCCATGCACACATACACATGTTCCATATCTATGGTGAAATATGAGGGCGTTACAGCATGGCAGGTCAAAGTTTAGAATGGCAACAAAAGCTTCTAAGTAAAGGGTCCACTGATGACTACAAAACAGATAATCTTCTTTAATTTTATATCCCAGGAAAAGAGTCATTAATGTGACAGCGAGAGCAAGATGAGAGTTGACTTTTATCTTTCTTTCAGCTCTGCTTCATTTTTATATCTTAATGGAATCGCCCTATTCGCATTTATCAGATTAGAGAAGATACTGCGAGTGGGTTTTAATCAACAGGAAGAAACACAGACAAAAGAAGTGGCAGCACCCAGCCAGACGGGCTCGTTTCGGCATCGCTGCGAGGACCCTCACAGGCTCATTTGAGTGTTTTCTGTGACGTTTCAATTATTTTTAATCTCAGTTACAAAAGATGGAGCCACAGAGACAAAAACATCAGCGACCAAATCAGATGGTATCTTCAGAGAAGATGCAATCTGCGGGAAAACTACGGATTAGCCCTTTCATGTTACGACCCATAGAGATGCAGTTAAGTGAGGAAAGAAAACAAGGCAGATAATGCTGAGAGATCTCAAACCTGAGACTGAAAGGATTAGACAACTAAAGGAGTGTGTGCTTGACTGCAGCCGGGGCAGGTAAAGCAGCTTAACACAGCTGCCACGCAACCCTGACACAACCTTACTGTTGACTCTGGGTTCATCAGTGCTGTTCAGGACACTTTTGACTGATGCACTTCCACTAAAAGCCAATTCATAAACAAGCTTTAATTAATAGTTCTGATAAACATTTAGCTTTTTTAACGCAGCCAATCTGAGAAAATGAATTGAACATAGATGTTTTGTATAACTTCGATGGTATATTTTTATTTGACCCCCCTTAATATTTTCCAATAAGATCTGCTGATAACTTTTTTTACACAAATCAAGAGTCAGTGCTCTGAGAAACCTTTATTACTTACAGAGAAAATATCCATTTCTAAACTCTAACTAGCCTGCCTTTGTATTCCAGTGATCCCTGTTATTTTCATTTAGTTCACTGAAAGAGTTTTGCTGAGTGGAAGCAAGGTAGTATTTATAAGAATAGCAGAGGGCTAATGACCCAGAATTCAACTGAGGTCCATTTCTAAGGTCACTGTTCTGCAGTGGCAAATCTCCACTGACTGACAACATTTTATACTCGGTGCAGAATTTAGTGCACATGTCAGAACTCGCAGTTGTATTCCAAACCCTGTAGTTAAGGAAAAGGCACAGACACACACACACACACACACACCTCCTCGCTGTCTCCTCCGTCTGTGGGCGTCCAGGTGAGTCGATACAGCACCACGTCAGAGGCCGGGTGCCCCCAATACACCCGAAAGCTGTCTGTGGATACATCAGTGCTCTTCAGATCCACCGGGTCCGGCACCGTCTCTAAAAAACACACCGAAAATGATGGTTGGCAACAGGATGGAGGGATTTGCAAAAAAAAGAAAAAACGAGAATTCCCTTCGTCTTGGGTGAGGGAAACGTCCTTACTTGTGGTAAAGCTCTCCGTCACCGCCTCAGCCTGCCCTTCATCGTAGATGGCGAAGACACCGACCGTGTACTCCGTCAGGGAGGTGAGGTTTTTTAGCAAATACGTGGTCACTGCACCGACATCCACCTGCGGGCGCAGACCCACACAAAGGCTGGTTTTTGGACTGCCCACTAAAGGTTCTGCTGACCTCTGAGCCTGATAAGACACGCTCACCTCATTGGTCTGGACTCCGCTGGTCTTGACGTACATGATGCGGTAACCTCTGACCAGCCTGGAGGCGGCGTCCCACGTGAGGCGGGCCGAGCTGTGATCCACGTCGGAGAAGCGCAGGTTCCTCGCTGGAATCAGCGGCACTGAGAAAAAACAAAGGAGAGGCTGCTGTGGACATCATCACGTCCGGTACGGCTCCCTATTCAGATTCTCCAGACTGGAATGACGGTCAGCTGCGTTTTCACGAGGACAAATCAAGTGCGGGGAAACCAAAACGGGACCATCATCCCATTGCCAAGATGTGTTTACCGTCTGTGACTTATCGTTTGTTAGCACTTTTTTAACATCTGCAGGAGACACACGATCACAGAAACGCCATCGAGTCTCAAAACTGAATTAGAGTTGTTCGTGTCAGAGTTCACGATTTCACTCTCACACCCAGTTAAACTCACGGGGTTTTCGAACAGGAGTTATTGAGCTCCACTTCTTTAATTATAAAGTGGACAGAACCTCATTACATCACTCACACTCCCTCAGGCTCTGCTTCAACTTCCTCTCTTGCTTTAATTCTCTCTGGCTGTCTCGGAGGAACTACAAAAAGGTCTGAAAAATTTGCTTCCCCTTACCATTTCCAAATTCAGCCAGAGGATCTGGTTCACTGTGGCACTCAAACTTTTCTGCTTAGAATACCTTATCTCTTCTCAGTGTAAAAAAAAAGGGGGAAAAAAGTCCCGATTGTACCGTCTTGCTTCACCTCAATTATATGGAGGGTCAGAGGAAAGACGAGGCTCACACTGAGGCAGCCGCTGTTTTTTACTGTTGGCTGTTCAAGGGGGCAGCATGGGAGCCGGCAGAGTGAGATATTAAAAAGTTTGGAGAAAGAAAAGCCTCCCAACTTTTCAAAAAGCACCAATGTAAAAGATATAATCTTAATTCAATTCTGCTAGTTGTGTAATATAGGGATATAGTGTCGTTGCGGCACGTTTCCTAAAGAGATGCTTATTTATCTCCATTCTTTCTTAAATGTGCAGATGAATGCAGGGTTCCAGACCTCTGAAACCCATCTTTTTTTCTTCAATACGATTCCTTTTGAACTCAGAGAAACGTGGATTACAAAACTGTTTCCCCGAGTTTGCTGCATCAGAGAAACTCGTGTTATAAAGCTTTAAGCCGAACGAGAGTGATCCAAAAAAATCACCAAGCAGAGAAAAAAGGTTTTAAAATCACATGAAAAGGAGCTGTGCCAACAGCTAAAAAAACACTGGGGGTGTGCTTCAAAACCCAGTTTTATGGGAGGGGAATGGATTTCCATTGAAGCAAAGCTAATTTTAAATATGTGAATTGTAAATTAAATGTAAACTGATAGTGAATGTTCCAAATATTCGATGTGGTTACACTTTCATGGCATCTGCTGCCTGAAAATGGGCTGCTGGCAATGTCCACACACTCCAGTGAGTCGATTTGGCTTTTAAAAAAGTGGCAGCGATTCTCTGGTTAATTCCTGCTGCAACCAGTGAGAGGGAAACTCCAGTAAAAGTACCAGATAACCAATATGGCTGCTCCATTTATACTTGTAAATATTCAGATTAAAAAAATTGGGAAGCTGTGTAAAACAGAAAAGAGGAGAGACCGGCCCTCTGGAAGAAGAATTTTGTCCAATTGTCGATCTTTTAAAGCTTCTCAGAAATCCTTCATTAATTTTGAACATGCCGCACTATGGAGTGTTTGATATTTTTTCCCATTGGCTTAATCGGGAAAGAAACAACTGGCAAAGTACAGGACATTTCTTAAAGTAATCACAAAATCTAGTGCATGAAGCGGTGGCAAAATAGAAAACTGAACCTGAACGAAGTTAGTTTCTTTAAAACTAAAACTATTTATTAAGTTTAAATTAAAAAAAAAAGCAACAATCTGCATATAGTGCAGTTTTAAGCACCATGTCCCTAAACTACTCATCACAGTTGATATATAGGGTCTAACTTTGGTGAGGGCACCATTTACTTTTATCCGTCATGCTGCATTTTTCAAAAAGGCCATTTGCAGACGCATCTTTTCACTTCATTAAATAGCACTCTGTCTTATCAGAGGCAGAAGTAACAGAGGAATGACTTGATGGAATGATAGATGAGAGGCTTATAAGATCAGAGAGATGTGATCTGAACAAAAATGAGCAATCGTGATTGAAAGACACGGGGAATCCGATGCCTACAATGTCCACATTCATCACGAGAAGGGAGACAACAGGAGATTTGTTTTTTGATCAATCTGGTTAAATAACTGCACAAAAGAAAGAAACAAACTATCATCCTTATTCGACCTAAATTCAACTTCTTCCACACATCATAAAGACATAAACATGCCCTTCCTTAAAGCCACAGGCCTCAAACCCTTAAAGGAAACTTCATAGAACGTTAATTAGTGAGCACGGTGGGGACTTAGGGATGGCTGAGCGGGAATGTACTCTCATCAAGGTTTCAAAACTCTCAAGAATGAAAGTGAGGTGCAGAAAATAGCTGGAAGATGGGAACCTGGAGGCCAGCGCCACACAGTGATTTTGGCACAGGCGCCTGCTAGTTTTGTTGGAAGGAGAAAAACCTGCCGAGACGTGACTTGAACACGCTGCAGCTGCCCGGGAAAAGCCAATTCACCACAATCAAACGCTGTGCAGAAGAGCGGCAAACGCAACTGCAGCAGTGGATTCCTCTGATTAGACAATTTTCAAGTCGGGACTTAAAGCTAATCAGGGAAAATAGATGCTTAGTGTTTGGATTGAAAAACTGGGTTTCCATAAACATCTCTACAAACAGCTTAAACCTAACTGGAAGATTTCTAAAAAAATAAAATAAAAATGGTCTTAAGACAGAAACTGGCATGTCATTAAGAAGAGGGCTAGTTTCCTTCCAACTGAGCAGCGCACATCTGCAATAAATCTGAATGTCCTGGGGAAAATGAGTGATTTCAGAGAAAGGACAGAACGTATTGAGCTCAGAGTTATGAAATTTGCAAGAAAATTATTTGATTTAAATGTCATCAAAAGTTTGTAAAAATCACGTCTTGTGTTTCTGTCCTTAATTTGATTTATCTTAATACTTGGCAGTCAAAATCCAGCTATTGTTACAGTAACAACAGCTGCTCAGACCAACACTATAAATGAACTGCTTACAGTTTACCAAAGCGTGTTAGAAATGAAATCTTCCGAGGGGAAACCTTTGGCTTAAGAACCTGGAAGGATAATACACCAAAATAACACACACACAGCCATAATGCTGAACTCTGTAATGGAGGGTTTTAGTTTGAGTCCTGGAGGGCTGGAACTGCTGGGACTCACGTGTGGTCTGCTGGCTGGTCATGGGGTCACTGGCCTCCTCCCCGTACATGGCGTAAACTGTTACCGTGTACTCAGTGGCTGGAGTCAATCCCTCCAGCTCCACCTCATTCACGGAGGCCGCCACCTTCACCTGCGCACACACACACACACAAACACACACACACAGGAATCATGAAAGTATGTGCATTTGGCAGAATCTCTTGACATTATCTGTCATGTTGTCTTATCCGTCTCCTATCACATCTATGCCTCAAACCCCACATTTGTGCCCGAACAAGCCAAGAATCAAGCTCTAATTTCATAAGATAATTTCTGAATGGGGCAAGGAACTTATTTTTTTTCGCTCCCAGCAGGTGAAATCCGTCAGTTATCTGCGCGCGTTGTGTTCAAAGATGTGACTTATAGCCAAAGTCTGAACAGGTGTCAGATTAAATGATTAAACTCCGGGGTAATTGGAAAGACTCAATCATGGGCTTCGGAATTGGGTCATTTCCATCACAGTTAAGTGTGTTGTTTTTTTTAATGACATAGACCTCACTGTTTTTCACTGTGGGCCACAAACCCCGCGCAGATGACAAACATTCGTCCATCTGCTCCTCTCGTTCTCCCGTCTCGTAAATCTCCTGCCTTCATTTGGAGCAAGAGAGAGCTGAGATGTTCCGCCAACAGAAAACTGAGACTGAGGTCACTTCTAATTCAGAAGCTAATCCAAGGTTTAGAGAAAAGAAAGATTAACCTGTGAAAACTTGAATTTGAATGTGAGTCAGACATGTTTTCATTAATTGGTTTGAAACAAACAGGCCAAGTTAGAAGTGCAAACTAACATGTTAGCCTTTAATCAAATTTGTTATTTCTGTGTTGTGAACTGAAACAAAACTTTGGAGTTCAGCTCTGATGTTTTAATTCACAACATTAAACCGGGTTGAGGCGTCTCCTGTTTGACAAGTCAAGACAAGTCATTGCAATCTTTCTTTTTCTTAAATCATGTGAAATAAATCAGTATAGCTGTCTATGGTATGCAGGTTATGCTAATCTTATCCTGGGATGCCCCTTGTTTCTGTCTTTCTGGGTTAAAACTGTACTGAAGCATTTTACTCTGCATGGATGAATCCCCCAAGTCGTGGCAGACAGGACCAAACTCCCAACTGGCTTAAAAATGGAAATAGCCAAGCCTCGATGCCAGGCTTATCCTTGGTACTGGAAAGCATCCACTCTAATTGTGAAGTTCCAGCTAAATAGTTTTAATTTCCTTCTACCTGCAGGGTAATGGGAAGGCAGGTATAATGAGGTCCAGTGGGAAAGGATGCCCACTGTTGGGTGCCTCTCCTACACCTTTCCTCCGGTATTTTGCATGTCTCACCCTCCACAACTCGCGGGGATTGTTTTGAAGTTTGGTTTCTATGCTGACCTGCTAACACGCAGGAGGTGGCGGTTTTGAATGAATATTCAGTTTAATCTCAAATTTGATATTTTTTAATATTTGCTAAATCTTTAGTTTTGTCTCGTAAAGCTAACTCTTAATCCCATGAAAGGAAAACACATCACAGAAAAGCAGGCTGTGAATATGATGCCAATCCTAAAACACATCCGAGAGGGTTTGATTTTGTATGATCGTGCATATCATTCATTAGATCCTTTTGATTCATTACAGTAAAGAAAATTAAGCCCAACATGCAAAACCAATATGTTGAAAAGTTGCAATGTTTTTGCTTTTCTCCTAAATCTTTTTTTTAACTTCTGTGAAGATTTATGCTATTACATCATATAATGCAAATCTCTTTTCTTATCATTCAGACAGGCGGACGCAGTTGTTTTCATATCTATGACGACTGAAAATGACTATAATCATTATTCTTCTCAATTTATTCCATTATTTTACAACATAGGGAAGGCAAATTGCACAGATTCGAACCATATCCGCATTCAAAACATGTGTGTGGAGGCCCAGCGTAGCACTCACCTGTCAGGATACTTTGATTATTTTGCCTCACACACCGTTTTCCACACCACTGTGCATAAAACACACACACAGACACCTCACCTCCTTCTCATCAGCCAGGTCGCCCTCAGTGAGCGGAGCGTACAGGATCATGTACCCTGACGCGCCCACGGCGGTCTTCCAGCGAACCCTCATGGTGCTGTGAGTGATATCGAACAACTCCAGGTCGTTGACTGTCGGCAGAGCCACTGAGAGAAAAAACACAGAAAAAGACCAAATTTTTCAAAGATGTGCTCTTAAAGACAGCTTATATCATACCAGGAAATTCTAATGAACATCAAACTAAATTACATCTTATATATTAGCAGTCATACACAGAAAAATGCATTTGGACTTTACTTTAGCCGCAATTAAAGTATTAAATTAAATCCAAATGACATTTAAAGGTCTGTCTATGAAATGAAATTCTATCACATTCAGAATGTTTAAAAAAGCCTCATATCAAAGTTATTGATGCATTTTAACAGAAACTTATCTTGCAACCTTTGCAGCCTACAATTTTCAATTTCTTCGAAATATCATTAAATACCTTTTTCTTTAATCTCTTGGAAACTGTATTAACATCACATTTTATTTTTTGCCAGCAGTGGCAGCTTATATGCAGCAACAGCCAGAGCCCATTAACTTTGCCTCAAGGTCGGCTTGTAACTTAGTGTGGATCCCCGACCAGTGGGGAGGAATTCCCCAACACTCCTCTGCCAGCCGCAAACTGAAAGAGGACAGAAAATCCTGCCAGGCCGCGGCTTAGAGACCGAACATCGGAAAGGGCTTTAGGCAACACATCCAGAATTAGAGCCCGGCGCAGGCTCACTGTCAGCAGGGTGGAATAAGGCCTTGAATACACAATGGAGCACCTGTATAGCTTTTAGAACCCAAATTTAGCCGCTTCTGTTGCAGTACAACACATGTCAACGGGCAGATCATTGTTCTTCATTTAAAAACTGTCTACTTCGCCCATGCTGAAAGACAGTGGATGTCTTCTTTTTAAATTTCTCTTCTTTCATTCATAGCTAAGGAATGTTAACTACAACATACTTGAAATACCCGCTGGGGTAAGTAAAGTCATCAAGGTAATTGTTTTGGATATTTTTGTCCTACCTGTATCGCTCCTATAAATCTGACATAAAAAAGTGATGTTGGCTAGTTAAAATAGACTGAAAATAACAGGAGATAACTATGTAAGGTAGTTTAGGGTAAGCAGATCCTGACTGGGGTAAAGAGCTAATTCTATTTCTGCTACCAAGTATCCAAGTGTCAGGGGTTTACCTGATGAGCTGAAAGGCATTTGGGCCAATAAACAAAGCAATGTTATAGTAGGGATCAGAATCTTGATAACCTGGCCCAAGCAGGGGGCGAGTGATGATGGGCCGAATGAATATCATAGACTAGGTTTTTTCAAATGTGTGTTAAGTCTCATTTCATGATCTTTTTACTTGAATAGAATCAAGTAAAAATAACTATCAAGGGTTATTTATCAAGATAAATAACTCTGAAAAAAAAACTTCATGAACTTATTCCCCAGTCAATATTTCTTGCCCCATGCACTCACGAGTGGCTTAAAGTTGTTTTCAGCCTTTCGGCCAGTTCTCCAAAAGTCAGAGGGAAATAGAACAGAGAAACAATACTACCCCAGTTCAGGGCAGGCAAAAACCAAAACGACTCACATGTGGTGGCGCTTCCTCTCAGAGCCTCACTGGCAGAACTCCTGTAGACGGCGAAAACGGCCACTTGGTATTCGGTCAGAGAGTTCAGGTAGGTCAGCTCCACGCTGTTCTCCGTCCCCTGGACCATCTGAGAGACAGATCCCACTGGGTGTTAGTCCTGGTGTAACAGTGCCAAATTACACCTAAACGTAACAGTGAAGTCAAAATCCTTTAGCAAAATTTAATGCCAATTGAATGTTTTTTAATTTGGGCTTTGCACACACTTTCATCACAATGCAAACTACAAACCTACTGCTTAATGGGGACTTTGTTTAGGACCTATTAAGCATCTAGCTAGAAATAGTTCTTTGAACTTTCGGACTGTCTCTCGAAAGTGTTCTTTGGACATTGGCAGTTTTTTCACTCATTTTGAGTCCTATGATTCATTCAAGCGTGGTCTCAATGGAAGAGTGGCTGTCAAAGAGCTATTCTTAAAGGAGGCAACCTCAACGTTACTGAAGCTGCGTGGGATTTTCTTGACAGAGAATGACAGAAAAAAGGCAGCCGACATCTGAAAAGAAGCTTTGGACTGTCTTTCAAGAAGCTATTCCTGAATGCTGTGTTAAAAAAATGAAGGACATGGACATACTAAGTATTAGTACCCCTCATTTATTTTTATGTTGCCATGAGAAAAAGTGTATGTGTGTGTGTGTATATATATATATATATATATATATACACACTTTTTATTTACACACTTTTTCTCATGGCAACATAAAAATAAATGAGGGGTAGCTCAAGAGAGCAAGTTTATAGCCTGTTCTGTTCTTGGGGGGGATTTTTTTTATATGTTCCCACCATTTTAGATCCTGCCCTGCCGTCATGCACAATGGCTGCAGAATAAAATAAAATGTGCTTGCTTTTATGATCCTCAGAAGGCAGATTCTGCACATTTCCAGTTTCCATTAATCATGCAGATCACTATGAGAAATGACCTTGTGGAGGTGACCCTAAAAGGATTAGCTAAGCAGCCTTAATTAAAACGCTGCCATTTTTTTTCAGCCGCTCAGCATTTTGTTTTGCCGCGTGCGGGGAAATCAGCAGCAAACGCTCAGCAATTAAGGTGACAAAACGAAACACCCATTGGTCATTGATACGAGCCCAGAGACACGCGTGGGCCTCCTAATAATCATTTAGCTGGATTCATTTACATTTCATTTAAAAGCTCTTAGAAAGGCTTGGATTGTGGCTGAACTAGAGGCCCGAAATAGCAGCAACATTTCTCACCCTGGCAGAATAATTAGGAAGAAGCTTCAAAACAGCTATTAACAAGCAATGGGATGAAGAAAGAGCATCAAAGTGGAAGTCAGAGGAAAAAATATTTATGTGGAGAAATATGTAATATGCATTAAGAAAAGGTGGAGATACTTTTTCTTCTGGCTGTCCTCCGCTGGCCGGGTAATAGACCACCCGGTATTTGTTGACCTGACCCTCCGCGTGGGTCCATGTGACCCGGAAGCTGCGAGCCGTAATCTCAGAGATCACGAGGTCGCGAGGTGGGGCCAGGGCGGCGGGAGCAGGGGCGGGTTTGCCATCGCCTGCGGACGGAAAAGAAGACATTGAACTTAAAGCTGAATTCAGAACTCAGGTTAAATGAAAACAAATGCGAGGAGCGTTCTTAATGGTGGACTTCAGCCGTGACCCTGCATCGCATGGGCAGCGGGGTCTATTGCTTTCAGAAGTTCAGACCTTTAATTTCCTTGTCGAGCTCATCCACGCGGTCGCAGATGGTCTTCGTGAGCCCCTCCACAATGTCGCTCATCACACTGAAGTCTGCCACGTTGTAGACGTGAGTTTTCTCAGGGGGAGAGGCGATGGCCTTCAGCTCATTCTCATCAGCATTTTTCACACCTGCATAAAAAAATCAGAGCAGGAGGAGAGAGAGCTCTGATCAGACCGACAGGGAACACGAAAAAGCGTCTGATGATGCAACCGGCCCACAATTATAAGCAGAACTTCACTCTCCTACAGGGCTAAATCATTTGTCAAACTCTGAAGTGTGCTTCCTCGGAGAACTTCTGATTAAAAAAAAACATTACATAATACAAATCATTGCCTCTCTCATTTCCTTCTCTAGAAAGTTTGTGCTGCTGGAAAGCAAAGTTTATAGAACTACTTATAATGTCGCGTCTCAGTTAAAGAACATCTGCTTCCACATAAATGCCTGATCTGAGAAAATCAGCAATGATCTTCTCAATGATTCTAATTTAACTCAAAGAGGCTGCAATCTTGCACCGATGCATATTTACTCAAGTTAATGATTGGATTTATAAATTTCTATAAACAAAGCCATTATTTTCATGACTGACTAAGTTCTCATGAAAGATGAAGTCCCAGATTTTTCAGCTTGTAAACAGCTAACTGTCTCAAATTCATGTATTAAAACAATGATGATGATGATGATGATAAAACTGGAACATGACCAACCCTGAATGTTTGGTGAATTGTGTCAAATGTGAATCGATTTCTCCATTATTTAAAATGTTCACATTTCCTTTTGCACCTGTCTGCCAATGTACATCAAAAACGGAAGACTGGTTTAGCTTTAGTTTATTTTTTTACATTTTTCTTTGCCTAAAAACATCCTGCACTAACGTTTTGAGAGGCTCACTGTCCAATGGTTAGCGGAGGCGAGTCATACCGATGGCAAACAGTTCTATCCCAGCATCTTTCAGGCTCTGCGCAGGGGGGATCACATCATCCTGGGACTTCCCATCGGTGATCAGGATCCCAATCTTCGGAACACCAGGCCTGGACCCGGACTCCACTTTGAAGCTGTTCTCCAGGATGAAGGTCAAAGCCAGGCCTGGCAAAACAGGAAACAGTGAGACATGATGCTAACTAAAAACACACAGATCTTAATCATGACAACACAGTTAGATATAGGATAAAGGGACTTCTAACTAGAAAACTGACTGCAAAGTAGCAACATAGGTTCCATGCAATTACAATGTTCTATATGCTAAAATTGCTACATTTTAAGATGAAAATCTGCTTTACATTAGCAGCCAAGAGCTAATTTGGTGAGACAAAGTGTGAACTTTTTGCACTTAGCAGGACTCTGTTCACCGCTAGGAAGTGAATCTAATCATAATATTTATTCTGAAGACAAAAAGAGCAGGTAAGGCTGAAGGCAGACATGTATGTCACAAAGGCAGCAGATGTGTTATGACATGACTGTGCTGATGATGTGTCTATGAGCCCAGACCAGTGAAAAAGAAGCTTTTAGCCACCTAGACTTTAGCGATTCAAATGTTTTAGTCACAAGGTGTGTGCATCTTTACGGTTTCCTGCTTGGTGCTATCAGCTTTGGAAGATGTTATACATATTCTTTCAATTTAGTGTAGAAAATATTTATTTTGTTGGCGTATGCTTTATTTTTATTAATAGATATGAAGAAAGGAGAAGCTGACATATGGGTATAGACGAGTGAAGTATGATACAGAGAGGAAGGTATTCGATGGACATTATCTAGTTAACTCAGTCTGACACATTCCAAAAATAACTTCGCTGACAGGCAGCTCCAGAAAATCTGAGACCTGAGGGTTGGTTTAGAAAAAATGAGTTAACAGCAGTCACTCTAACCTATCACTTCTTTATCAATGCCAAAGCGCTTATTTTGTTTCTAAGCTCCACTCGTGATGCAATTATCATTGCACTTTTATGAACTGGGAAAATGAGGTTGGAGGCGAGACCTTTTGAACCTGAATGTGAAGAAAAAGTAGGCTCTAAAGAGCACGGAGCTCACTTTCTTTATTTCTCATTTTGACATGCTACGCTCATGATCTGTTCAATAAAGTCACATCTGATGTGAAAATAACTGAAGATTTCTTTTTGTCCAAAAGCAAATCTCCTTTCCAAAGCTGAAACCTGATTGAGTTTTGTACAAGTGATACCGTCACAGCTCTAATGGTGGCCAACAACAAGTAAGTATTTAAGAATGACTTTACTCACAGTTTTAATGAGTCGTGGCTTTTGAATTAACCGATATAAGGTGCAAGTTCAGAAACAAACAGTAGTAAGATGGAGGCTCTGGGTTTCGTTTGGCTGCATACCTGTCAGTGTGTTTCCCCCTTTGTATGGCAGGTTTTTTACAGCCTCTATTACAGATTCTTTGGTGGTGTGAGCATTCAGATGCCATTCAATCCTGGGGTCTCCACTGTACTGGGCCAGGCCTGCATGACAAAATTATACAAATGCTGTGTTTTTAGCCGCAATTTCAAATCCATATTTAATTCAATTTGTGTCTAGAAATGTGCAAATGACTTTTGGAATAAATAGATACAAGGAAGGCTCCTCACCAATCCTTGTCTTGTCATATTCCACAGAGAAGGCCCTGACCAGGTTTTCCAGGAAGGTCCGAACCAGCCGGAAGTTGATGCGACCGATGCTCCATGAGCCGTCCACCAGGATCACAATGTCAGATACGGCTGGAGTCTTGCACAGAAATCCATCTTTGGATATCAATACAAGCAGAGAATTGAAAATAATGAAAGCACAATTGCCACAGAGAAAATAAAGGCTCATCATCTAAAAAACTAAAAAAACAAACCACAAAAAAGAGAATGTTCCCGCCCAGCTACTTTTGTCACAGCTTTGATGTCCAAGAAAATAAAGAATATTTGGTAATGGAAATTCAAAAAGGGTATGAATCACACTGAAAGGACATAAAAGCTGCATATCGCAGCCTGCAGCACACACTTGATAAATCTGCAGAGGTAAAAGTAGGACAATTGGATGTGCAGCTTTAGTCCCAAAGTATTACAAAGTGTTTCATTAATTCTAATGCAGTTCAACACAGTATAATTAAACCCGCGAGGAGCAAGGCACCACGTTTTAGCAGATGAAACATAACAGCTCACTCTGTTGTTTGTCTCAACAGTTTACTGGGTGATAAAGCCGACCCGACTCTAATGAGGCAACAGCAGTTCATTTACAGAAGTAGTCCAACACACACCGTCAGCCAAAGGCTAACCATATTAGGGAACAGCCATATTTCCACCAGCCAATTATCCTTCATACACGGTGCAGGAAGTCTGGGTCATTGTGGAAAACACTAGTCTTTAGGGGTACTGGTTTTAAATAGTCGCACGAACACAAATAGAGTATACTACAAAATTGCACATGTGCAGACCCCAAAGTGTGAGCAGCTCCAGTGAAAAAGTGTTGGATTGCAGCGGATCTTATTCAGAAATCAGCTCCCACTTTGATGAGACGCACATCATTTTAGTCACTGTGACTCCCTCTGTTACATTCAGAGCTCAGACATTGCTTCATGTGACAGAATGTGTTCTCTTTTGCTTATCAAGTGGGATTCCTCTTTCAAACTCTCAGTGCTCAGGGAAAGTTTAGCATTTTTTCCACACCTTCAATTTGCACCGGCTGTGTTATGTGACCAGAGCAACCCAGTGTGACATCAGATACTTTTTCTTGTTCTTTGTCATGGATCCACTTCATTCTTTCCAGTTCACATTCACAGAAGAAACTGGGGTTACCACCCTGTCTGGGAGGGTTTCAAGACTTGACTTCTTTAGACTCTTGTTCAATTGTTCAACTTGGCATATTTTCCCTGTTCACAAGACAGATCTATTTAACCCCAAATTCTAAAGCCGTAGTTAGAATTCTCACCCATTATTACAGTTATATTATCATAACTGATAATATTCACTTATTGACTCTCTGATTTTAAATTCACATACAGTTTTTTTTCCTTAACGTCTGTCATAACTGTAAATGTGGCATCATTTATGTAAAATCTAAAAAAAAAAGATTTAGAATTTTGTTGACAAGTGAAAGAAACACCTTCAATTATAGTTTGTTCCGGGCTGAAAAAGACCCCACTTTCCACAAGAAAAAAAAACAACAAATCTAGCTGGGATGTGTCCCTGTATTGTGATAGCTTGATTATAGTATTGTTGGGATCTTTAGGCACGAACATGTTAAGACAACACACAGAAATGTAGCCATGGGGGTGCAATTATTATTCTTATAACAGCCCTTAATGGGTGTGCTTGCTGTAACTTGATAAAGGGACCAAAATCTAAAAAATAAAAATAGGTTCAACTGACCTCTTAATTTATACAGAAAAACAAAAACATAATTTCATGTTTTTTGTTTCAGTATGATTTTTTTTCTTGACCTGGCTCCGCTAGGGATCTGCTTCTCATTTTGCGTTTTCTGCTGGGACTGGCACACTATTTTCTTAAAGATGTCAGAAAGTATTTCTCTCAGGTCGCAGCACGCTTTGACATTTCATAAGGTGGAGTGGCGGGCGTATATCCATGTGTGAATGTTTGGCGAGGTGGCAAGGCCATTCCTCAGCAGTCATTTCATTCAGTATTGACAGGACCTAAGTGGGGTACTTCTTACAAGTCTCAACAATGATGGAATTTAAACTTTGTCCTATGTTTAACAGAGGAGTGTGTGTGCTGCTATCAAATATGACTTCAGAGGGAAGGTGAAGGAAGTTACACATGAGTCATACAGTTCCTCAATCACATTGAAAAGATGGGCTGCAGGGCGATTGTTTGTTAGCTGTATTCTCAGCAGCTTGTTATTGGTTTGGCTTAATTTCATAAAAAACATTTTAAGGTGACATATATGTTTTTCTTTCAAGCAATGAAAGTCTGTTCCATTTGCAAATGGCTGATGAAAAAAAGAAAAGAAAATGAAAGCAGACATCATTTGGTATACTTTATGCATTTGGCCTTTTTTTCTTCTTGCATTTCTATCTCGCAAAAAGCATCCAAAAAGACACAGATTGAAGAGAAAGATTACTTCAATAGCACATCTGCGGGGAAGAAATGGAAAATAGCACCTGGACTGATGGAAAAAAAAGAAAGGAAAGCAAATGAAAAAGCACAAAAGGTTGTACATCGGAGGGTATAACTGCAAAAATACCCCTGTTGCAAATGGTCGGCTTTAGTTCCTTCCTGCTCGATTTCATAGATTTAATTACTTTTACCTTTAAATCAATACATGTGAGATACTATGAATAAGCATTGATGAGCATTGTGCAAACCACAGCTAGAATCTCTGTATGCTTTTGTCATGGTAATGCACCAGGGAGTCTGCAAACATATGGGGCTCCTTATGTGTTCCACTTAAATCTTATGTACTCCGTTTAATCAATCTTTGAACATCACAGTGTTATAACACCTAGTCAGCCACCCATAATGTATCATCTGTGGCAGAAGCAATGTGATTAACAGACTGGTAGGAGCCACAGTTGGTTTTGGGTAAATGTTTCAACAACAGAGACAAAAAGAAAGTTTCTGAGGCACAAAAAAGTCTGAGGCCACAGCTCTTGGCTGGAAAAGAAACGGCATTTGTTGCTGGTTCAAAAGTTTATTCATGAGGAGTTTGTTCAAAAGTAAAGCAAAAAGATTGACTGGCCTGTCTGCCGAGGTGAAGGAAAAGCTGTTCTAAGGCACAAAGGTGAACATTTACTCTGTTACAGACCGAGAACAGTCAATCCTAACTAGGATCTGTAGGGGGGAAAAAATACAGCTTATGATTCCTCTGAAAGTCTTTTTAACAACTGTTGTCGAGAACATTTTCTTCAAAAAAGTTTTCCTCAAATTTTCTGTATGAGTTGTACATTTTAAGTTTTATCATATCAAAAGCCAATAAATCTGCATTAATTAAATTTTTAAAAGCTGCTGTTGGTTGGAATTCAGGAAAGTGTCATTTCTTCCACCTGTGAGTAAAACAAGCTTGGAAATACTTTGCTGCAGACAGCTGGTCAAACAAATGTTCTGCCATTAGACTGCATGAACAGACAGTGAAGGAAGCATAAGCTGGAGTTTTCTCCTTTAGTAATTAGAGGTTAGAAAACCATTTCTCTAAAGTGATACAAAATTTCTAATTATAAAAGAATACTTTTAGCATGATGGCTAAAAAGTAGACTGACAATGACAATAAAAATAAAACAAAAACAAAAACTGAAAAGAGAATGGATATACGTTTATATCAATTAGTTAAAAACTTTCCTCAGGTTGTTTCTGTGCACGTCAAAAAGTGTAAGCGGCACATCCTGAGACAGTGAATGTCAGGAGTATCAAGAAGAGGACATGACCCAAGTTGGTAAAGTGTAAACAATATTCTAATGAGTCCTTTCTGTTTACTGGTATTCTCATACATATTCATGGCTGCGAGCGGGGCCAACAGGTACGTGGAGGCTCAGCCTGGATCCTGCACTTCCAGAGGCCATTAAAAATGTCAGGGTTAAGAGTTCAATTACTCCCACTGGTCAGTGAATAAAACAAGTTCTCGAGACTTCACGTTTCCAGTTTTGTGCTTTCAATTTGCTCTCTGTCGGAGCTGTAACTTTGTAATTGTTAGTACTACTATCAGATGCAGGATTTCAGAAGGAGTCCCAACATACAGCTCTTATGTGCTAAAAGACCAATGTAATGTTCAAAGCTGAGACCTCAAGGCTACAAAGGATGAGCTGCGACCGCAAAGCCAATAGCTGCCATGTCAAAGGTGAATTAGACCACCTTGAGCTGTTTGCTATATATTCATAAAGTCCCGTACTAATTTACATGCCATGAAGTCAAAGGCCAAGTGCCTCAGACTCCATCATTTTACTGTGACATGAAAGCCTCATTTCCAGCTCACAGAAATTCCACTCAGTCATCAACGTGGAGAGAGATAAACTCCAGCTATCACACAATCTTTATATGGGTTGTCAGCTGTCAACAAAACTACCCAGAGGAGCATTTCTTCATTCCTAAAGTTTTGCCTCGCACATCTATGGCAATTTGAGGACAAATCAGCAATTTGTTACATATTAAATCAGGCCGTGTCTTGAAATGGACAATATTAAAGTCATAGACATTAATATATAAATTTCCCCAAGACATGTTATGTATGCTTTCATTGATAAGGGGTTGCAGTATTATTCACATGCTGCAGTATGTGAGTAAAATGTGGATGGCCACTACAGTGACAAGGACAGAAGTAAAGTCAAACCGCTATTAAAACAAACCCAAACAAGCCCAGGACAGCACATGAGCTACAGCTCATTTCAGTGAGAAACAAAGGGTTGAAGATTAAGAAAACCAGGCTTGTAGCCAGTGGAGAAGAGTTTGATGCTTTATTTCTATACAGTCAAACTCATGTTGTGTACTATATTTTCTGAGACATTCTGAACAATGAAAATGTTTTTCAGCTGTCTGGCGTCCTCACTACCATTCCCCGCTCACAATTTATTTCCATCAAGTCTCAGATTGGAAAAAAAAACTGTAATTGGAAAAGTTTGCATTTAACTTTCTGATTGTTGAAACTTGCACGAGAGTAAATATTTCTTATGCAAATGACAGCAAAGTCAGAAACTTGATTGCATCTCGTGAGCTAAAGCACAATGTTTGGGGTAACCGCACACCAATTTGCTGCAATTTTCTTCAAAGACACCATTTTCCACCCAGCACATCCGACTCCAAACAATTTCATCAAACTTTGACTTTTATCAGATGATATCGGAAAGGTTTCTGGGGAGTACATAGCTCTGCATCTAAAAAGAATTC